CATGTCCCTTGGCAAATCTCGAGGACACCACAAAATTCACATTTCAAATTGACCTGTGTCCCACTAAAGGCTCCCAACAACTCTACTATCCAAGCCAGAGAGCAAGAAACTGGAGTATCTTCCATGTTTTCCTTTTCTCTCGGGTCATGTCAATGCTATCTCTTAGTGACTGCCACAATTCAATTAATCCCATGTACCCCTTAAGATACTACAATTCTCTATTCAGTCTCCCTGTTTTTTGTTGTCTGAAAAAATTTTTTGTTTACTGATTTTAGAAAGAGAGGAAGGGAGAGGGAGACAGAGAGAAACATCAATGACAGAGAACACTGATTGGCTGCCTCCTGTATGCCCTCCACTGGGGATTTGGCCCACACCTGGGCATGTGCCCTGACCAGGAATTGAACTGGTGACCTCTTGGTGCACGGGTTGATGCTCAACCACTGAGCCACACCAGCCGCACTCCCTGTTTTATTTTTATAATCTACCCTCTGCACTTCCATCAGCACGTTACAAGACAAAAATCCAAACTTGCATCACACTCTTGAAATCCTCTAGCATGTCACAAGTGTCTTTACCTTTACCACTAGGCTCCTGTCTATCTGTCCAATCCCTCACATTACCCATTTCCTGCCTGAACAGCCCCAGACTCCTTGTGGTTGTCACCTGTTCCACCCAGCCCCCACCACCACCTGCAGAGGCTTTTTGCCATTTGGTTGCAATGTCCTGCTGCTTCTCAGCTGGAGATTCCCAACTTAAGGCTTTACTCAGATGCCACTAGTTCTGGGAAATCTGACAACTTCCTCCAGTGAAGTCACTTCTTTCCTTTGGCTACTGCAGCATTAGAGGCGGCATTTACTACTGTATTGGAAGTATCTCACTTTGTTCTCCAGAGTTAAGACTAAGGACATCTCAAAAACAAGAAACTGCCTCTTACTTCTTTATAAATCTAAACCTACAACACTATTTGCAGACTATTATATCTACCTTAATATCAAGGACTGGCTAACCATTATCCAATTTTTAACAATAATCAACTCTAAAAACCAAAATCCCAAATAAGTCTGTTCAACAAAACAGTCAATAGTCATACTAAGTGCTGAGCTCAAGGATGCTCAATTATCAGGATAGTATGTTTGTCTAGTCACATACCAGTTAGAATTAATATTTACCCACACCATGTATTTTTGTTGTTGTTGTTGTTGTTAATCCTTACCCAAGGATATTTTTCCATTGATTTTTAGATAGAGGGGAAGGGAGGGAAGGAGAGAGAGAAACAATGTGAGAAAGACATAGAGAGGAAGCAGGGGGAGGAGAGAGAGAGAAACAGCAATGTGAGAAAGACACATGGATTGGTTGCCTCCCGCACCACCCTGAATGGGTCTGGTGATCGAACCTGCAACCCAAGTACATGCCTTTGACCGACAATCAAACCCACAACCCTTCTGTCCACGGACTGACACTCTAACAGCTGAGCCAAACAGGCCAAGGCCATACCATGTTTTAATATGCAAATAAGCTACTGTTTGGACTGCAGTTTAGTCTAAAAGGGCATTTCAAAGGTTTCCAAATGCTAATGTCAAGGTTAACTGCCAATAAAATGTGCTGGATTCACTTTAATGTTACATGTATTTTTAAAATAAATGTGCATTACTACCTCTCGTGAAACAGCTTGCTAACAGTTATATCCCCTGCTAACCTTGCCCATGAGCTACTGAAGGGCAGGGATGCCATCACCTTCCTATTCCTAGCACACTCCAGCAACTAAATAAAAGTTTCCTGAAATGACAATTCATCTAAGTTTTTGGGTGAGCCATATGTTTTATTTTATTTTATTTTTTTAACCTCACCTGAGGACATTTTTGCATTTACCTTCAGATAGAGCAGGAGGGAGGCCGGGAGGGAGACAGAGAAACATCCATGTGAGAGAGACACATCGAGGGGTCGTCCACCCACACGACCCCAATCAGGGCCGGGGACAAACTGCAACCCAGGTACGTGCCCTTACAGGAACCTAACCTGGGACTCTGGTCCACGGGCCAATGCTCTAACCGCTGAGCCAAACCGGCCAGGGCTTGGGTGAGCCATATATACAAGTAAAATGCTCATGAACTGCCAGTGACAAAGGCAGAAAGCAAGGTCAAGTTAACTAAGGTTCTTAGATAAGGTATTTATTTTTTGCCACCAATTAATTTCACTGAGAAACTAAAGTGTGGCCAATACTCTATTTATGTGCTACATGGAAAAGATAAAAATTTAAGTAACTTCAGAAAGACTACTAATGTAAAAGATATACCCTGCGTAAGTATGAAAGGTAAAAAATGTGTTTTATCCTTGTGAGTGTGGTCACAGCTATTAAATAAAGTCTGTATATCTCAAGGGAGTGGGGTAGATTTTTTTAGGTTGCCAGGTTTCATGCTGTTTCCTCTCTGGATCATGAAATACTCAGTACAAATGTAAGAGAACACACTAAGTCTTCTTTCTTTGCAGCCAGTTTTCATCTGCAAAGGTAGATGAAAAGGTAGAACTGTCTACCTAACTGGTGAATTATTTCAAGTTCCTTTCTTTACTTCCCTGATATTTAATCACTTTGGGGTCAAATAACTTCATGAGGTAGTCTAACAGCAAAAAAAATCAAGTAAGTTAGTATTGTTAGGAACTCTAGCAAGTCCTAGGGCTGGAAAATGAGGTTAAAATATAAAAATTTAGATACTAGAGCATTTAAATTATCCATGCTAATTTGGATAATACACTATTGAAGACAGAGATACTCTAATTTGTTGTGATACATCCCTATAAAAAATGAAACCTGGATATAGTGTATCTGTGCTACATGTTTCAGTTTTCTTTAAATCACAGACTCTACGTACTATGAGTACTGCCTAATTTCTGTTATCATCAACATCCATATGAATTTTTTTTTAATTCTCATCCAAGGATACTTTATTCCATTTATCTTCAAATAGAGTGAGAGAGAGAGAGAAACATCAATGAGAGCAAGACATGTCGACTGGCTGCCTCCCGCAGGACCCCAACCAGGGCCGGGGATGAACCGCAACCAAGGTATGTGCCCTTGACCAGTAATGAATCCAAGACTCTTTGATCCTCAGGCCAACGCTCTAATCACTGAGCCAAACCGGCCAGGGCCATCCATATGATTTTAATGTTAATAACCCCAACTAGAAGGTCATTAACTTATAAAATCTTTTTTTTTTTTTGGCTCAAAAACCAAATAAAAGAACAGGGACATTTATTTCATACGAGTCATACTCTGAACCTACAACGCCAAAGCAAAAGACTAATGTGCACTTAATACATATTTCAAGTCTTTGTAACAAAGAAGAAAAATCATTACAAAATTTAGGAGTGAGATCATGTCACTAAAGATAAAGCTGATTAGCCCTGGCTGGTTTGGTTCAGCGGTTAGAGCGTCGGCCTGCGGTCCTGAGAGACCCGGGTTCGGTTCCCGCTAAGGGCGCGTACCTCGGTTGCAGTTTGTCCCCGGCCCTGGTCGGTTGTGCGGGTGGCAACCACTCTATGTGTTCCTTTCACATCGATGTTTCTCTCTCTCTCTCTGTTCCTCTCTCTCCCTCCCACTCTACTTGAACAAAAAATGGAAAAATGTCCTCGGGTGAGGATAAAAAAAAAAAGATAAAGCTGATTAGGGAATGGCTTCCATGTTCTAGTTAATGAGATCTGACTATTGAGTCTTTTTTTTTTTTTTTTAACTATTGAGTCTTAAAGGGTAAAGTAGAATAAATTGCAAATGTCTCAGCTCAGCTCCTTGTACTCAACTGTTTCACTAACAAGGACTCAAAGTATAAACACCTTCCTTATCACTGATAACAATACTTCAGTGCTAACAATGGCAATTTAACACTGGATAAAAACTATACAGTGGTTTATCTTGACAGTTTAGAAAATAAAGATTAATTATAAAATACAAAACTCACTTCAGGAAGAAGTAAACACCAAGAAAGTCAACCGAAAAATGGATTTGTAATTTTGCATTCCTGGCCCAAATTTGCCACACATTCTAAATAAATAATCTACATCTCATCAAACTACCATAAAAACTGATGGCAGTACAAGAATGAATCCATCTACTTCTTTAGCATGCCCAATGAAAAGAAAGAAGGCAGGGAACAAATGGTGTAAGTAGGAGAAGGGACAGGCTCAGTGCTGTGCTGCAAACTAGGCCAGAGAAGCTGCAGATACATGAAAAGCAAGGCCAACACAGAATCTTCCACATAGACCCTAGTTCTGAAATCATCTGTTTGGTCTTAGGATGTTTTTGTTCTTTACATATAGAACTCTATCCTTCCTAAGAAAGATGCTTACAATAACATTAAAAATAATAAAATTCAGTTTTCAGGTAAGGTACTTAAATTTATATGTAGGGGATGACAAAATGATATTTGACAAAATATGTATTTATATTTAACTCTAAAAGAAGTTATAACATGTTAATATACTTTTTAAATAAATTTCAGCCCAACCAGTCTTAAATATTTTTGATTCTTTGACTAAGTGTTAACTACAGACATGACTACCCTAACTAGGATGCCACTGATAGTCCTATATTAATTTTGCTAGACCAAACACTCATAGCTGGGGGGGGAAAAAGCAACCATTTATACTTACTAAGAAAAGCAAACATTTACTTCAAATAGTAGTATAAGCTTTTCAATCACAAAAAGAAGGAAAAGAACAGTGATCTGACAGTGGTCACTTCCTGTGCAATAACTTGAGATACAAAAATGGTAACACAAGGTATCTGAGCTGCTAACATTGTAGGAAAAAGGAAATACAGTAGCTGAAATATGGCACTCCTGGGAATCAATGTCTAACCAAATAGAATGCCTTTGAAATGATTAAATTTATTTGTGTATTAGTAAGAAAGCCCCACCACCATAAATAGTACAATATTTAAAAATTAAAAAAAATATTTATATCTATCTAAGATAGACAGTGTATTTGTGTTGTTAGACCTCTTTAAGTGGTTTAGGTTTTGCCTTTTTTTTTTTTTTTTTTAATTAAATAAATGCCCATACGGTTTATAAAGTTCCCCTCAATCTCAAAAGCCAATTTAAATCAAGAAATTTGTTATCAAAGTTGCATAATTTCATTTGGGACTGTCAGCAGGTTAAAGTCTTCAATCAAGTCTTTAGCATTAATGCTTATTTTTAGTCAATGAAAAGTTAAAAAGTTCTCAAATCTTCATTATCCTCTTGAATTTGCCCTTCTAAATGATCCTCAAACTGCAATTCCTAGTTTGCAAATAAAAGAATGCAATATGCATCATACTTCAAGAAAAGACGACGATGTTGAACTAACATGCTTCTGAATCTTTTCCCTGCTTCTTTCAACCTTCTTTATAATTTCCGCCACTATGCACACTGATGAGGTGAGACCCAAAAGAAACAGCAGATCTGCAAGATAAAATAAATTGGGTTTTATAATTCTTGAAACATACAGCTGCAAAGCTTAATGCTTACATTTTTCTAACATTTTACCACTGCAAGATAAAATAAATTGGGTTTTATAATTCTTGAAACATACAGCTGCAAAGCTTAATGCTTACATTTTTCTAACATTTTACCACAGCTTTTAAAATACATTGTTTTACAACCATTCCATGAATTAGACAATCAGCCTCAGTATAAAAATAAGGAAAGCCAGGCTCAAAGTTATTAAGTGGTTTATCCAAAGTCAATTAACTATGAAAGGTAGCAGCCAGAGAACTAGAGCCCAAGTCCTCTGACTACTTTCCCCAAACCACAAATAACCTTGTAACCATAACCTTTAATAGCAACACCAGCAAGAGTTTTCTATTTAAGGCTTTTAAAGGCTGTTCAAGCAGTAGTAACTAACTTGACTGAAAAATGCCTATCTAAAGATTATTTAGAAATTTGCATTTATTTTATTTGAAAGCCTAGAAGAAATCATCTGTAAAGACCATGTCTTTACACCAGTATTCAAACTAACTCATTCTTATTTACTGCTCAAAAAATTGCAATTGTCTCCTTAAAATTCTATTTTTTTAAAAGGATGGAATGTGAATATAAATTAAAATATTGACATTAAACTAGTTCACTTTTAAGGTAAACAAATTATAACAAAAATTCAGTAAGACTGTTTAATTCATTTTCATAAATATCCAAATTAACAAAGAAACCCAAGAATTAAAAGTAGCATAATCAGCCCTGGCCAGTTTGGCTCAGCGGTTAGAGCATTGGCCTGTGGTACAGAGAGACCTGGGTTCGGTTCCCGCTAAGGGCATGTACCTCGGTTGCAGTTTGTCCCTGGCCTTGGTTGGGTCATGCGGGTGGCAACCACTCGATGAGTCCCTTTCACGTCGATGTTTCTCTCTCTCTCTCTCTCTTCCGCTCTCTCCCTCTCTCTCCCTCCCACTCTATCTGAACAAAAAACAAAAAAATGTCCTCGGGTGAGGATAAAAAAAAAAAAAAAAGTAGCAAAATTATAAAGACATCAGCCCTTACACTTACATAGAAAAATTAATTTTTAAATGTACTGTATCATAACATTTAATGTACAGTACGTGAAAGTATAATGTCTGTCTTCCACATAATCTTAATAAAATTTTTTGCTTTTAAGGTCATGCTGTTATTTAATAAAATAAGAATTACAAATTATCAAGTAAAAATAGTGAAATATTATTTTAAGTATAAAAATTATAATTTTATAGAAAAGCAATTTGGTTTTCAGCGAGCTTAAATCTAATTTTTTCTTCACATAAGATTGAAAAGTTATAAACTACAATTACTCTTTAACAAGCTTTGAATTACTACACTTCAGAATAAGCAAATATGATTTTGACAACCTATAAAAATTTAAAACCTAGCGTTAGGAGAGTGACTCCCCTAAACTTCTCCCAATGAAAAAACAGAGCACACCTGCCCTGGCTAGTTTGGCTCAGTGGTTAGAGTGTCAGCCTCCGGACCAGAGAGTCCCACCCAGGTTCGGTTCCTGCTAAGGGCAGGTAACTCGGTTGTGGTAACTTGGTTGCGGTTCATCCCTGGCCCCGGTTGGGGTCGTGTGGGTGGCAACCAGTCGATGTGTCCATCTCACATCTATGTTTCTTTCTCTCTCTCTTCCTCCCTTTCTCCCTCCCATTCTGTCTGAAGATAAATGCAAAAAAAAAAAAATGTTCTCAGGTGAGGATAAAAGAAAGAAAGAAAAACAGAGCACACTCCTTTTTCAAATCAAGTCAGTCACTTATTTCACTTTTTTAAAAAAAACTTTTATTAGAACAAATGCATTAGAAAATACAACAATTCATCTGAAATATATAAATTATAAAGAGCATTTGCTTTACCCAGTATACTTAGGCTCTCAGTCTGAAAAACTTTCTGAAGTGGAGGAAAGTAAATAACTAATAACTGTCCCATGATGGATCCAAGAACTGCGTAGCAAAACATTTTATTACTGCAGAGTCCAATCTCAAACACAGACTTGGTCTGTTGGCAGAGCAGAGTTCAATTATTACACGTTGGTCATAGAAAAAAACTACTTTATTATTATATTAACCTCTAATTTTTAATAAGCTGGATTGAATTCTACAATAGCAAAACCATGAAATCTCTTAATTTTTACTATTATTTTGGAACAATTCAGATGGAATAAGGGTACATTTTAAAGCAGCTTCTCTTTATTAAGAAAGGGCTTTCTTTAAAAGTGATGCTATATATACATATATACAAAATATATACGCATATATTTTTTAGAAAGACAATATAAAGAAAGGACATTTATTTTAGCATTCCAAAATTTAAGAAATTTTATTGTATATGAAATTCTAAATAATTTATATCCATTAATTAAGGTAGAGTAATCTAAAAACCTTTCTTTAAGAATGGACCTAGTTTATATGCTTACATAAAAAGTAAAGCTGACTTTCAATAAAATAAAAAATAATAATATAGCATCTTCAAAAATGACTCTAAATTAACAACAATTCATTGTACTTGGAAAGTTCTAGCATGGCAAATGGTAACAAAAAAGCTAAGAATTCATAAAGTGCTCTAAAAATTAAATGAATAATCAGGCCTCAAATGGAACTAGTTTTCAAAAAAAATTATGTGTGTGTGTGTGTGTGTGTGTGTGTGTTTTAGCTCATTATTTCCTATCAAAGCACTTCAATTGAGAAAGGCAGTTAATCACACCTTAAGATACAATATGGGAAGAGAAGTAAATCTGAAATGTCCTAAGCTTTGACATGCTGACGGAAGTAATGGAAAAAGATTAATACGCAAAAAATTGTTCTTGTACTTCTAACAATACTTTCCTCTAAAAAGAAGACTAATGCTATCTTAACAGAATCAATGAGGTTTGTCCTATGCTTCGATAATGTTAACCTGAACCTATCATATAGCTACAGATAATAAGAGAATGGAAAAAAGAAGGATCATGTGATGACACCAGTGATTTACTTTGGATCTTCTGGGCAAAGGTAAAGCTTATCTCCCCAAATGCCCTATCCCTATTATGACATGTTTGTAGAAAGGCTGTAATCTGTGGTTTCAAAATCAGGAAAAGTTAAAAACCCAAAATCCTTGCCTGCTTACAATTAGAACGTGATCCACCTAATTGACTCTGTAAGCATACCTGGGATCTGGAACTTAGTGCATTGAACATGTCAAAAAACACAAAGCATGTGAAGGTCATTGTTGTGTCTCGAGGTGTTATCACATTGTCTCGTAGCTGTCAAAAGAAAAAAATCATTTTTACTAGCTGAATTTAATGGACAAATACAGTATGCTTTAAAAGGTTAATATTTTCTGCCCTGGCTGGTGCTGCACAGTGGTTAGAGCATTGGCCCATGGACCAAAGGGTCGAGGGTTTGGTTCCTGGTCAAGGGCACGTACCTGGGTTTCAGATTTGATCAATCCTTGGCCCTGGTTGGACTATATGCAGGAGACAACCAATCAATGTTTCTCTCTCTCTCATTTTCTCTCCTGCTCCCTTCCTCCCTCCCACTCTCTCTGAAAATCAATGGATTAAATATCCTCAGGTGAGGATTAAAAAAATAGTAACATAAAATAGTCAGCATAGTATAATTCTCACACTGATGTTTCTCTCTCTCTCTTCCCCCTTTCTCTAAAATCAATTTTTAGAAAACATATCCTAGGGTAAATATTAAATAGATAAGTAAGTCACCTAATGAATAGCTATAATCACCATAAACTAAACAATCTTCTCACAAACCATATAATGGATAGTAAAACAAATTTCTTTTTTAATGACAACAAGGTAGCTATGTTAAAGACTCAGATTTTCTAACATTTCCCCAAATTTCATATATTAATTTTTATTGTATAACAGTCCTCTGCAGATTTAAATTACTCTCACAAATAAATCAGAAATTCTAATAACCCATAAGACTGAAATCAGCCCTGGCCAGTTTGGCTCAGCGGTTAGAGCATCTGCCTGCGGTCCAGAGAGACCTGGGTTCAGTTCCCGCTAAGGGCACGTACCTCGGTTGCAGTTTGTCCCCGGCCCTGGTTGGTCGTGCGGGTGGCAGCCACTCGATGTGTCCCTTTCACGTCGATGTTTCTCTCTCTCTCTCTCTCTCTCTCTCCCCCTCCCTCCCTCCCTCTCTCTCCCTCCCACTCTATCTGAGCCAAAAAAATGGAAAAATGTCCTCGGGTAAGGATTAAAAAAAAAAAAGACTGAAATCAAACTATCTTTAAGTATTTTCATCAAATTTTTCAAAGAGCTCTCCTAACTTTCAAGCCATCCATGTAGCACACAAAAATAACTAAGTCCTATCATACAGAATACATGTTTTTGTTTTGTTTTTATCCTCACCTGAGGACATTTTTGCATTTATCTTCAGACATAGCGGGAGGGAGAGAGGGGGAAAGAGAGAGAGAGAAACGTTGATGTGAGAGAGACACATAGACTGGTTGCAACCCACACGACCCCAACTGGGGCTGGGGACAAACTGCAACCGAGGTACGTGCCCTTAGCAGGAACCGAACCCAGGACTCTCTGGTCCACAGGCCGACGCTCTAACCACTGAGTAAATTGGCCAGGGCCAGAATACATGTTAATAAATCAGCTTATCCAGTGAATATACCTCCCGCCAGAAGACAAACAAAGTCCCACAAACAATGATTATTGATGAAACGAGTATTTTAAGTATCAGGTTTTTGGTCAAAATGCTTTCCTTCCAGTTGCGCGGAGGTTTACGGATAACATCTTTATCCACTGGTTCTACTCCAAGGCTTCAAAACAAAAAGAAAAATGAATTACTTTCCAGTTTTAAGGTTTTGGATTTGTTACTTTCAAACTTGATTAACCTCAATTATCCAAGAAACTAAATGTTTTCTTATAAAAACAAAATATTGACTCACAAAGGAAACCTTGACTATGGTTACTTGAAAATAGTCACAAATTTCATCGCTCATTCCTATTTTACCCTTATTTATTTGGCACAGTTTGACAGGAGATTGATAGTCAAATTAAAAAAATTGTCCAACTCTGTTTACATATAAGCGTATTTATTTCAGATGTGGCCCGAAATACATGACCTACCAACTGGACTTTGAAATATCTTTCATGCAATGAGGTTTCAATTACTTTTTGTATTGGGAAGTGACATCTTTAGCCCCATTATTATAAAAGAAAATACTTACATATTTAGGTCCATTAATATTTCCCCAAAGTCTCTAAAATTGACAACAAAGCCTAGCTAGTAACACTAAACTCAGAGATTTCTCTATTCATCCCTTTCTTAGAAACAGAGCTTACTTCCTGATGACAGGAATTGCCTTGATCTGTTTTCAACGTAAGACTAGGCATCTAAAACAGTGTAAAGGATCAGATCCATAATGAATGAGTGAGCACCCAAAGAAAATAAATGATATGCACACATCACACAATTTATAACAAACATGTTGCTATAAAGATTTCTAGTGCTATCCATGAATGAAGTCTTGAAACTTAATTATCAGGATATTAACGCTTTGTTTATCGTTCTAGTTTAAGCATGAAAAAACATTTACCTCTGAGCTGGAGGTCCATCCATGATAATATTGATCCACAAAATCTGCATGGCATTGAGAGGATTAGGAAAGTTCATTAATGTGGCCAATGAGATTAAAGTTAATGCTGCTATACTCCTGTTGGAAAAAAGATCATTTAAAAAAATCTGTCAGCACAGTATAATTCTTACTAATTTTAAGATATCACTTTTTAGCATTTAATAATCTAATGTTACTACTGTGCTTTTAAAGGAAGCCTATATTTCCAAGAACAATGAAGCCAGGAGTTAACTCTTATAATCCACAGTATTTTAATAAAGGATTTTCAAAATGTTTCTGTAACAACAATAACTAAAGGAAGATTTTTAAAGTTGAGTTAGAATAACTGTTGCTACTTAACAATTAACAGTTCCAACAATATTTTGGTAGCCGTTTTTTTGACTACAGAAAAGCCCTTTTACTCTTGGAAAATGATACCAAGAAAAACACTAAGATTTGACACACCTTAATTATTTCAGCAGCTATTTAATAAACCACAAAGGTTTCTACACTTCAATAGTGATATAGACACCTAAGTATTGTATTAAGAACCCATTAAACATGCCATTTTTAATTTATGAATTGATTTTCATTTTGGAAAACTTATATATGGAACAACCTTCAGAAAGAGAACACAGACGCTAGCTTCTAGGCATTCTGCTTGATTTATACTTTTCATATAATTTATCTATAATACTCATGATGAAACTTCTTACGAACTTACGTGCTCAGTTGGAATCTAACAAAATTTTTAATGTTGTTATAAATCCCTTTACCCTCTTCAATTGCAGACCTGAAATTAAAAAAAAAAAAAAATTTAAGTGAGAAAATATTATCACACAAAAATATATCTATACTAAAACACTAATTTTAAAAACAAATTTCCAATCGATATAACACATACACTGCTAAAATCTATTATTTCCTTCACATAAGATTAGAAAAATTATGAAAACATTACTCCAGCAATAATTAAAGCCTGCTAATAAGCCCTACCTGAACATTAAAATTCTTATTCTTAAAAATATATTTCAACATTAAAATCATATATTGTCTTTCTACATAAGACACAATACTACACACTTATAATACTAAAACAATAATTTTCTTTACCCAACTTTATTTTTCTTAAAGATTCAAGATGCATGCATGGTAAGGGGTTAAATTAATGTATGTAAGGAAACAAATGCAATGGGACATACAAGAATTATAGAATTTAAGCTATCTTAAACTTTGCTCCTACATATAATTAGATATATTGCTGCAGAATTATATAGAGAATATGATATACAAAGATTCATGTAAATTATCTCATTCATTTGTTTGAATCTAGGAAAATACGTGTTTTTTAAACTATTTCTTCTTCCAACATTTTTATACAATTCTAAAATGGAAAGAAAAAAATATTATATCCTTATAAGAACTTGGCAATTCTGAGTCCCAAGCTCCCACATGCTTCACTTTAGGCCACAATAGGCCAACATGGGCATATAATTAGCATGTATCACTGAAATGAGTAAGACTCAGTTTGGCAAATAGGTGATTATCAAAAAATATGATTCAGGTGACTCCCACCTAAACATTGCGAAACTATGCCACCAGGTATTACATAAGAATCTTAAATCAATTATTCTAACTCAATACATTTTATCACTGATACCATGAATAATTAATGACATAAGGAAATAGTTATGGATGAGAACTTGATAATTTTTAATACCTATTATAAGGCCATGCACATGCATACTTCAGATAACCTGAATTTAACTAGAATAAAAGTCCCATAAGGTTCACTGCTGTACCACCACACTTATGGCCAGAAATATGTGACACCTGATTAGCACTCAGTAAACATTTGTTAAATGAATGGCCCTGCCATTTATTCTGTCCTTTCCATTCCAAAAAATAATAATTTATTCCAAAACACACACTACAACATAAAATAAGATCAACTGATCTAGTAAAATAGTTCAATTGATCCAATGTTTAAATATTGCTAATTCTTTTCTACCTGAATTGTCTGGGGATGGGAGAAGATTCTCTCTGATGCCAATCAGGGAACACTGACACAAAACTTACATTATGGTTTGGAAATCATCATCCACCAGGATCATGTCGGCTGCCTCCTTGCAAACATCCGTGCCAGTCTGACCCATTGCGACTCCGATGTCTGCAGCCTTCAGAGCAACTGCATCATTTACTCCATCTCCTGTCATGGCTACAACTGACCCATTCTTCTGTAGAGACTACAGTGGGGGAAGAAGGGAGGAATTCTGATTAAATGTTACTTCTATAGAGATAAAGTGATAAACAAATCCTCTCTGTTTTTTTTCACATAATTAAGACTGGAAATAATACAAATCACCAATTTTTCAATAAATTTCAATATATTGAGGTCTTAAAACATAGCTTTAAAGTTTCTATTAATCTTCACAATGTGTGAGAACTACATATCTAAAGTCTGATTTAGAGTGAATTGTGCAGTGGTTCTCAAGGACAATTTTGCTTTCTATGGGACATCTGGCAATGTCTGAATACATTTCTGATCGTCATGACTTGGAGAATGCTACTGGCCCCTAAAGGGTAGGGATCAGAAATGCTACTAAATATCCTATAATACACAGGACAGCCCCTCACAACAAAGAATTATCTAGTCCAAAATATCAATAGTGCTAAGATTAAGAAACCCTAGACTAATACAATAGAAGGCTATTATGATTAGTAATTTAAGTCCATTGCCCTGGCCAGTGTGGCTCAGTGGGTGGAGCACCATCCCATGCACCAGGTCGCCAGCTCTATTCTCTGGTGGGGGGCATGAGGGAGGCAGCCATCTGATGTTTCTTTCTCTCATCAGTGTTTCTCTGTCTTTCCATCTCCATTCCTCTCTCTAAAAAAATCAATAAAAACATATTTAAAAAATAACTTAAGTCCATTAACTAATGGCTACTAAGATGCTTTGTGTGTGTGTGTGTGTGTGTATGTGTATATATATTTGTCTAATTAATATATATAACTATAGCCTTTTAAATATTGTTTACATTCTCATAACATATTTTTATTTATTGGTTGATTTTAGTGAGAGACCAAAAAAACCATCAATTTGTTGTTCCACTCATTCATTGATTGATTCTTATATGTACCCTGACTGGAGATCGAACCCACGGACGATGTTCTAACCAGCTGAGCTATCTTGACAGGGCTTAACATTTTTTCTTGATGTATTTATTCAGTTTCTAAGTAACTAATGCTATCACACTGGAATGATGTGACTATGGACTACTGTCAGAACAGATTTCTACATTGTATAATTGTATAAAGAAGGTTTTATTTGCAGACATCTCATTCAAGTTTTCTTCTACATCTTCCTTTGCTAACTAAATTCTCTATTAGTGTTTCCATTTCAGGTTCTAAAAAAAGAAATCACATGTTTTGCTTTATAGTATTTCTGACTTTAATGCTCTATCAAATATTCCTAGTAAGGCAAACATAATTTAAGACAAGAACTAGCAGTTTGGATATAAAAATTAAACAATCGAATTATTTGAGGTCCACCCACCTTAATAATTTTCATCTTGTGTCTTGGACTAGCTCTGTAAAATACTGCAACCTGTTAAAACACAAGAAACATTAAAAATCTTCAATGTTAAGAAATACCAAAACAACTGCTATGTTTATAATTAACAATTTTTAAAAAGTATGTATTTAAACTGTACTTAATTTGCCACAGAGATCAAGCTTAAGCAATGCACTACATGTTTGTTAAGACACTCTTTTGACATGGTCATTTCAAACTTTAACAAAGGTACCACAGGAAATACACAATAACTGAAGAGAAAACAGCCTTACTCTTGAAATGTTTCAGAGATTAAGGGAAAATTTTCTTCTGTTTCCTCATGACACTGGCATACAACTAAAATGGCCTTTTCCCTTTGTTCTGTCTTCAGGAGAAATAAAGAATAGCTACTTCTCAATGACTATAAAGCACCACCACCACCACCCTTTTTTTAAGTGTCAAGTGTCTGCTCATTCTTTCATCAAGTTAATTTATCATTAGGATCTCTTCCACTATATTTCCAACTGCTTATATGATCTTACCTCTCCAAACAATATATTTAATCCTTTTTTCTGATCTCATTTCCAGTCTTCTAAAACCCTTTAACTATGCCCCAAAGTCATCAGTCATCAACAAAATCCCCTATATCCTCCCCTTTTCCACATTGCTCAAACCTAATTTTTCCATAAAGCATGGGCCATCCCTACAGTCCTCTCAAATAGTACAACCAGGAGATCCCAGAGGAGAGTAGGTGTCCTCCATTCTCCCTTTTTTATTCATAAAGACTGTTTGAATGTCACATGAGGCTATACTTCCCTCTAACTGCAAGCATTCACTGCTCCAGGTCACTCCCCAATGTTTCACAAAGACTTTAACTTCTGCCTTACTGTCACTCTCTCCAACAACACTTCCCCACATACCATACATTCTCTTTCCTACTCTCCTAGAGGATTCACTCACACTAGTTTTCTCTCCTCATACTTCCAACTGATCCTTTTCTCCAACCTCACTTTCAGCTGAAAACCTTGTTTCCTACTTCAAAGAAAACAAAGTCTGACGAGGATTTCCATGATCCCTACCATCCAGTATGTCTCCAGGCAACATCCTTTCTTTCACTGCTTTTACTAATGCAAAGCTGAAGACTCTCTTGGTTTTTTGCATGTGGTACATAACATTGCTCAGTATAAAATTTGTTCTTAAAGCACGAAGATGACAGATTAATCTTTTTAGTTGAGTAAAAATATAAAAATTTAATGAACACAAAATTATGGCCTAAAGAAATTAGGTATTTTGAAAAACCCTAGAAATGAGTAAAAATTAAACTACATCATTATATCAAAGAACTAATATTGAACTTGAGGGTAATTAAATTTCAAATATTAATAATGTTTTCACATTTATGTCTGTTTCTCTACCTAGAAAAAGAGACTACACTGATTAAAGGCAAGCACACAATAAAAGCACGGTACTTTGGAAGCAGGAGGGGAGAAGACAGGATAAGGACAGCAGTATTATGGCAAAAGCACAGTGGAAAAGAAGCAGAACTTTGTCAGAAAAGAAGAGCATTTAGGGAATAATATGGGAGGAAAAGATAAAAATCATTAAAAGGAGGGGGAAAGGCTATGCATTCAGTACTCAAGAGTTCTTTTGATCAACATTAACAGACAAGGTGTACTGGGGAAAGAAAATTATGAAAAGCAGAAAGTAGAAAAATATTAGAGAAGTTTATTTTTTTAAAAGCATTCCTAGCATTAAAATAACCTGCCAAAGGTCTCCAAATCTTCCAAGACATGTAAAAAGTACCTGAAGCATTGAAGAAAAAAACAGGTGACTAAAATAAGTATTTACAACCTACCAAAAATTAAAGAACACACAAATTAGGATTATATTACAGAGACTTGGTTAACAGGTTTGAAAGAAATACAAATGCAGGTATTGCTATATAAAAAAAAAAGAGGATGTCCACTTTTATCACACTGTAGAACACATTGGAAGAAATCATAAACAAAAAAACTCTCAGATGGACTTAATAACAATTAAGCAAAATTCAGTTTCTATACTAGTTTTTAATTGGCTCCAGGTCAAAAGGACAGAGCAATGATAAGGGATTTCAAATGTGTGATTAAATTATGGAAAGAGAAAACTGTAAAGCATTTTAATGAGGAACAGAATTACTATGATAGAGTAGATGTGAAATCTCAGTGAGCTGGCAATTTAGAAGAAAAGTTTTTTTTTTTAACACTAATAAAATAAAAGCTATTCAAACTGACCTGAAGTAAAAGCATAAGACCAAGAGCACATGTTGGCTGTAACAGAGTTACATAAACACAAGTGAAAAAGAAAAGACAATGTTGGGGTGAGGAATGGGAACATAGGTGGTGGGGCAGGTAGGGAGCCCAGCTAAGCTTAAAGGACTAAAAAAACTCATTAATAGTATTTGGAGAAAAGACTTAGGTATTCAAAAGACCTGAAATTCCTCTTTAAAGTAGGATGATTTTAAACAATTCAATGAATGAGATCTCACAAGGCTTGTTATTTTCAGTTTCTTTGGAACAGCATTAGGTTATCTGCCCATAAATGAATGCACAAAAACTCTATTTGGAAAAAACCAATGATGTAATTCGTCCAGACTGATGATGTAAATTATAATTTGCTTTTTCCTTCTCTATCTTTAGGTTGTTTTTCAGGTCATGAGCAGTTTTATCAGAGCCAGAGAGTGAGCTGAAGGAAGCAAATAAAATTTTAATCTGTCAGTTTCACTACCTGTTAGCATTTCTGTGAAAAGATATGGAAGAACGGGCTGAGCAAAGGTCGAATGGGAAAAATGTTTTATTACCTACAGATTTCATGTCCCAGCTGTTATATAAACAGTTTCATTTTCATAGCAGTAGAAATGGTAACACTTAGAATAAAGCCTTTCATCTAAAAGGCTCTATCTAGTTCAGACGAACCTTTGGTAGTATTTGTGAAAGCTGCTGGACATCCATTGCATCTATTTCTTCTCCTGAGACTGACTGAGAAGTTTTGGAACACAATCCCAGACGACTAGCTAAAGTGAAATGGGAGAGAAAACATAATTAGCCAAATTGGTTTTGTTTGACAGGCTAGTAAACATAATGCTCAGTTAATATAACTTGTTATCCACTCTCTTTTAAGTATAAAATGTCTCTATTTCAAAGGATTACAAGACAAACTACTGGTAAGACAGACATATCTGAATTTTAAAAGTCTGGGGTTTTCTGTTTAACTTTATTTTTGTTTAAATATAAGAGTAAAGCATTACACAGCGTAATCCATCAAACCTAAGAACTGAAACAAGGCCAATGAGGTTCTACTCAGCAGTTTAATTTTAATGAAGATCAGTATGTGTATTAAATATCCAAAGTCAAATAAAACGGTGGTAGATCTGTGGTAATCATGTAGTTGTATGTAAATGAAAATACATGTTCAAATTTTTCTAAGTATAATCTTCCCAACCATGTTACGTTTCTAGTGACATTCTTCTTGGATAACAAAAAGTATGAAACTCCTGTCCCGATCTCTCTCCATGTTAATAAAATCACAATAATAGATTTTTAGCAAACTGCTTAAATTTATCAGTATGAATTATAGTTTACCAGCTCTGGGAGATTAATTTTCACGTCCATTTTTTCCCCTTTTACTACTTTTTTTTTTGTACGTGTCCCTAGCGGGAACTGAACCTGAGACTCTTTGGTCCACAAGCTGACGCTGCAACTGCTGAGCCAAACGGGCCAAGGCCCCTTTTACTTCTTAAGGTAATCATAAATGGCATTCAAACAAAACAGGCATATATATAGTAAGACAACAAAAATTTAAACATAGCTATTTTGTTTCAAAATAGGTACAGGTCTGCTTTGAAAATATTCAAGTTGAAAGAAAAAACTAAATTTCATGTTTCCTTTCAGATTAATGAACTAGTGCTTTTATCCATCAGCATAGTGGATTATGAGGTTTTAAAAAAATAGCATTACTTTCTAAACAAAAATAAGTTTTGGCCCACAATTTTATATAGAGTACGACCAAACAAAAGAGTCAATTTTAATTACATAACCTCAATATTATGTAAACAAATTTCATGTCTAATTATTCACACACTTATGTGCTGCAGTAATTTTTTTAAAAAACTATCAAAAACAAAAGGAAGCAGCTTAGTTATACCGATTGCAACTGCAGTCTCCTGTGAGTCTCCAGTAATCATTTTTATTGATACTCCTGAGGCGATGAGTGTTGTAACAGCTTCTTTCACACCAGTTCTAGGAGGATCAATGATTCCCACCAGGCCAAGAAATGTCAGCTGTCCCAGTTCAGGTCCAGAAGCCAAAGCAAGAACTTAGAAAATAATGATAAAATCCCAAAAAAAGAAAATGTGAGTCACAAAAACATTAGAATGTACTTGACAAAAGCTGGAGACAGTAACACTTCTTAAATAAATCACTTAAGACTATAAAGTCATTAGAGTTATTATATAATCTTTTAAACCTAAAATTATTATGTGGTAAGACATAGTTTAATGGTTCTAGATATGGTTGCTTTAAATTACTAAAAATTAAAAGGAATAAAAAACTGTTAAGAAGAGAAGGCAAATGAGGAGAAAATAAAGAATGCTTTTGCATAGTAACCATGTGCATCTCCTTTCAATATAAACTACTGGCTCTTTGGAAAATACAATTAATTATATGGAGAAACTATAGGTATGTTGAGCTTTAAAATGAATTTTAAAGAGCCACCTTTGAAGGTGGCTTCTACTAATGTTATCTTCAGTTTTCCAGTTTACAAGTCTGTATAACAATTCAATAGCTTGAAGAGAAGGCTATATTAATTAATTAGACACAACATGTAAAAATTTCATACATGATAAAAACCCTGAGAGATAAAGTTGACTCTAAAGTGATTATAAAACCACTAACATCAACAATAGTTTGGATTCCTTCACTTTTTCCATAACATTAATAGATATTTTTATTTGCAACTCTGATAATCTAAGAGTACATAAATAATACCACCCTACCACTATTTAGTTAGTTTCCTGTCATCCTTGGGCACTTAAGATATAGTAAGAAGTACTATTCATTTCCAAATATTATTTAGCTTACTCTCAGAATTCTGGAACCTTTCATAAGTACTTACGAATCAAAGGGATATGTCTCCACCTGGGATATTATTAGACTAAAGAACTTACCAAAGAAAACATAATAAAAGCACACAAATTAAACATGTATCTCAAGGGGAAACTGAAAAGTCCCAAAGAGATCACAGGAAGTATCCATTCTTATTCAAGCAGAAGGTATGGAGGATTAGATATATGTGGACAACCAAGGTTAGAGGCAAATAACTTCTATTTTTCCAATGTAAGAGTCATTGAAACACATCTACATAAATAGTTAAGTATATGACTTCACTTTGACAGTCCCTAGTGTTGGAACAGAGGCAGACAATAGCAGAAGGGGACAGTTATCAATTTGTGTCAGCAAATCCTAAGAAAGGGAGATCAGCTCTTAGCACTCTCAATGGAAGGGTAGTATTAGCCTAGAGGTTAGTACCCTATATTTATCTCTTTTCTTCTTTAGAACAAATGAAGACCTACTGCTACCATTTGGGACAAGGTAGGTAGACCTTTTTCATGTGGAGGGTCCGTAACTAAAACATAGAAACAAATACTCTAATTTCAAAATTACGATTCATATGTACTTTAAAAAGCTTAAGTTTTATAAGATGCAATGTAAGTACATATCAAGTTAAATTTAAAATATTTCTATTCTTCATTACAGTAACTTCAGGGGAAAAAGAAAAATGGAGTACAAGAAGAGAAAGTGGAAAAGACAAGAAGCAAAAGACAAATGATCAGAATATTTTCCAAAGCCCTGTGAAACAAAGATTTTCTTCTCTACCAACTATTTCACAACGTTACAAAAACAAACCACACACTCACAAACCTCCACATTCCTCCAGATGACAAGAGTCACTGTTTAAAAAGTGTGAAACCCCTGTTTCAAAAATTAAGGAAAATAGGAAGCACATACCAGACCTTGAAGACTTCTTTAGGGTCTCTAAATCCAAGCCAACTTTGAAACCCTCTTGCTAGGAGCTGCTAAGAATAACAAATTCTGCCCTCAAATAAAGCCACAAGAATACCTTTCTAAATCTGTAAATCAGAAAGTCCTATAAATCTATACAAATGTTTTATATCCACAAAAAGCACCTAGGTGAACCATGAATAAGAAGATTTTTACATAACTTGTTTCCTCCTCCCAAGAACTGTAGTGCTTTACTTTCATTTTGTAAAAATAGTACAATTAAGGAAGCCAACTCTTCCAATTTCCTTGAGAAAGAATACATAAATATACATATATACATATATATACATACACATACACATACACATATACATACACATATACATATACCCTACAAGCCAGGTGACTATTCAGAATGTAAAAACCAGGTATGGCTCTAACTCTGCCTCTTGAATCCTACACATGATGTTCCTAAGAGAGGTGGTCTGATTTGTGTGTGCACAGCAGACTCTCATCCCATCACATTTAGTCAACAACACAAACATAAGCAGAATCTGGGTACTTCTTTACCTCTCTGGTAATTGCCAAGGAAAGAAAGCATATAAGGAACAAGTAAGTAATGACCTCAATTTAAAGAACAAATTAGAGACTTAAGATTTCGCTATTTAGGAAATTATTTTAGATATATTAACAAATGACAGTCAAAATAATGAAATAAGAATGGAGTAACATCACTTTACCTCTATCCATCTCCCTCTCACAAGATAAACTTGTTTAAAATAAAATTTCTGCCCTGGCCAGTATGGCTCAGTTTTCCTGGACACTGGGAGGTTGCTGTTTCAATTCCTGGTCAAGGGCACATGCCCAGGTTGGTGGCTTAATCCCCTGTAGGGGGCATGCAGGAGGAGGCCAATCAGTGTTTCATCTCACACTAATGTCTCTCTCTCTCTCTCTCTCTCTCTCTCTCCCTTTCCTCTCTCTCTAAAAATCAATAAACTATTTTTAAAAATAAAAATAAAATTTCTATCATCTACTCAGAGATCACTGCAGGTCTATAAGAACTAGAGATTTCATATTTTGCTCTATTCCCATTTTTCCATATTTGGGGGACTAATTAAATCATAACACTTCAGAAATAGCAGAGTTCTATGGAGCCTGGACTAGAGCTAGACAGCTCAGACGTGAAGCACGAATTCATGTGCAATTAACAGAAAGCATTACCTTCCCACCCTTGTGGACTATGCTGAAGCAACCTTACCTCTGAGCCCTGCTGAGCCCATTCGTGCCTTCTCTTGTTGGTACAGATCTCTCTGCTGCTGGGTGAGTGTCAAAGTCTGCCCTTTGCTGTGGTATGTAGTACAATACTTGTTCACCTGTTCATAAGCACCCTTCATAAAACAAATTTCTGGTCCATCCTAAAGAAAAAACAAAAAACTGATCAAATAAATTCAAATTAATTTCAACATGTACATATCTGTCATTGGAGTCCAGAAGCAAGTAGCATTCATTTATTGTAACTCCCAGGGTAACTACTCAAGCCTAAGGCTTTGAGTGGTACTTGAACTCTGAAGATTAAAAAGTTCATATGTGGATGGAATACTATACAGCTATAAGAAAGATCTCTTATCCTTTGAGATAACATGGAGGGACCTGGAGAGTATTAATGCTAAGTGAAATAAGCCAATCAGAGAAAGACAAATATCACATGATCTCACTTATTTGTGGAATCTAATGAATAAAATAAGATAATGAACAAAACGGACCCAGAGACATAGAAGTAGGGTACGGACTGAAAACCCTCAGAAGAGGGGCAGCAGAGGGAGGGAAGAGATAAACCAAATAATTATATGCATATATACATAACCAATGGACATAGATAACGGTGCGGGGGGAGGGGGAGGGGGAGCGGTATCGGGAGGAGGGTGTCAATGGGGTAAAGAGAAGAAACATCTGTAACAAAAATAAAAGAGAGGGAGGGAGGGAGGGAGAGAGGAGGGAGGAAGGGAGGGAGGGGGGAGGGAGGGAGGGAGGAAAATTTTTTTTAAAAGTTCGTATGTGGGAGTTTTCTACATTCTCTAAAGAAAACAGCATCTGCCCGGCTGGTGTGGCTCAGTGGTTGAGTGTCCACGCGTGCACCAAGAGGTCACCGGTTCAATTCCCAGTCAGGGTACATGCCCAGGTTGTGGACTTGATCCCCAGTGGGGGGCATGCAGGAGGCGGCCAATCAGTATTCTCTCTCATGGATGTTTCCATCTCTCTTTCCCTCTCCCTTCTTCTCTCTCTAAAAATCAATAAAGAAAAGAAAACAGCATCTACTCCCTACCCTCACCCCTATACATTGAAGGTATTGCTACACTACGCCCCAGATTAGGCACTCCAGGATTTGGGGAGATGCTCACAATTTAACAGGAATAAGAAAGAGATCTAACATCAGCCCAAGCAATGGTTCAGGCTTTCTATTGGCTGTTATTATATGTATATATGTGATCTTGTTTAATTCTCACAACCACCTTATAATTATGGGTATTACCAAACTTTTTCTTCTATTTTTCATCATAGTAAGGTAATGTACAAAAGCTGACAATGAAAAACTGCAGTCCGCTGCCCAAATCTTCTCACCTCTAGTCCTACCCTAAAAAGGCCAGTCAAGTTTAACTCTACAGATGTTTTCCTTGGTATTTATCTCCATGTTTTAAATGTGTTTATACTATTACTTTTGTGCTAATCAACCTTATACATTGTCTTTTGTGACAGGTGACAGTCTGGCCACCCCTACTACCTATTCCTCCTCTACAAATGGTTATAATATAGTTAAAGTAAAATCTGTCAGTATTCTGTCTACTTAATGACTTTTCGCTGTTAAGCGAAGTGGTAGTCATTAGGACAGTTTATACACATCCCAGTTCTCCATGCAGGCACTTGGTAGAAATGTATTTCCCTACCCCTCTCTCACTTTGAAGTCAGGTATCCCTTGCTTTGACCAACAAATATGAGCAATACCTGTATGTAAATTTAAGAACCAGTGCATAATGTGCTCTTCCTCTGCCCGTTTTATGGTGTGTGCTCACATTGAGACAGAGCTTCCATCTGCCAGAGTCCCCAAGTAACTAGTGAACAGATATTAGAGTGTAGGGAGGCAGCAGGAAGGCATGATGTTTCCATGGCCTATATAAATCGAATATGTTTATTCTCCTGTTCAAGTTTTATCTTTTAGAAAATTAGTAACTGCATCTTTTAAAAATTTGCTTAGTTTTCTTTATACCTATTACTAATTATTCCAGAGCTCTTTCATGTAATATAAAGCCCTGCTAAATGATATTTTTCACATGCTCAAATGAGAAGGTAAATTATTATTCCCATATTATTATTGAAGACCTTCCTCCTTGAGTCTTGTTCTCCTTTCCTTTTCTAGTTTGAGTTGGCTAATTTCTAGGCCTGCAGCATGAATGGATGCATCCAGGAACTTCTCTTCACCTCTATCCTGGGGATTCTTTTCACCCCTGTCCTGGTTAGACCTCACTGTGTGCTCTGTCTTTTCTTTAGTCTATTGTCTTATCTTGGAATAACATATCCACAAGTATCTTTCTAAGAAAAGATGTATGGCATATCCATTTTGAGATCTGGAAAGTCTGAAAACATTTTTATTCCATCCCTACATTTCTAAGTTCATCTAGGAATAAATTTCCTCTTAATTTGAAGGCTTTCCTCTATTATCTTCCAGCCTCCACTATCCAGTGTTGCATTTGAAGTCCAAAAAAGCTACTTTAATTCCTAAACCTTTATATATGATCACCCTCCCACCCCAATACCTCTGGAAGCTTTTAGAATTCTCCCTAAGAATCCTCAAATTTCTTGATTATGGTCCTTGTGTTTACTCCTAATGAGAAGAGACTGTTCCAAGATGTGACTGCTGCCTGACTCAAGAGCTGGACCTGGACCAGAAGGGAGATTGCTTCCTGCAAACCCCACTTAGAGACTGACTGATCATAATCCATGTTCATTCTGACATAAACCAGTAACCCTTTATGCCTCCCACTACATGCTGGTTCCTGTAACAGGCCATTATCCTGGCCTGGTCAAGCATGCAAAGTAACTTCCCGTACCTGGTAGCATTCACATACTAGTACCCATAATTAATCCCTTCCTTTACCCTATATTTCTTTAGCACCTGCCAAAATTGTATCTTCCACCAGCCAAAGAGCCACCTCCTATGTAAGTTGTCCTTAAAAAACTCCATTAATTACCAGACTGCAGTGGCCAGCCTGTTTCTAAGGTCTGTACAGGCCCTCTGCTTATGAAGGAAGATTTTCAGTCTCAGGATTTTTTTCTGGGTCTGTATGTAGAATCTCCTCCCCAGATGATAGGCAATTTTATTCTAGAAGCTGAAGTCTTTCCTCTGGAAAATTTTCTGGTGTTATTTGATAAAATCTTCCCATTTTGTGTTCATTCTTCCTGTTGACTACTATCAGGTGGATGTTAGATTCTCCTATATTTATTTTCTGACTTTTATATCGTATCTTTTATTTTGTCCACCTCTTTGACTTTCTGTTTTACTTTCTGATAGGCTCCTTAGCTTTATTTGAAAAACTTTCTATTTAAAGCATTTTGTCATTTTTTATGGTCTTTGAAAATTTACTTCAAGATCTGGCATTATCTTTGTTTCTCTGAGACCTCTTTCTCTGCTGGTTTGGTTATCTTCATACTTAAGACTTTCCCCAAATATCTAACAGTCCTTTACTGTCCACTTACATTTAAGACTGAAGCAATTGCCCTGGCTGGTCTGGCTCAGGGGTTAGAGGGTTGGCCTGCAGACTGAAGGGTCAAGGGTTCGATTGCTGGTCAAGGGCATGTACCTGGGTTTCAGGTTCGATCCCTGGCCCCAGTTGGAGCATGTATGGGAGGCAACCAATGTGTTTCTCAATATGTCTCTCTCACATTAATGTTTCTTTCTCTCTCTCTCTCCCTACCCCTGTAACCGCCTCCCCTTCTCCCTCCCACTCTCTCTAAAAATCAATGGAAAAAATATTCTAGGTGAAGATTGGGAAAAAAAAAAAAAAAAGAACTGACTGAAGCAATTAAATGTCTAGAAGCTCCATGGGCACTGAATGGCAGGCTTATTAACCTGAGGGAATCCCCCTAGTAACAGTCAGCTTCTCTAACTTTTCAGTCTTCAGACTTAGAATGAGAGAGATACCTCCAAGAAAGTAGAGTTAGGGCCTAGAGGCTTAACCTTGAGGACAATGACTTGACCTTAATCACTCTATTTTCAGTCTTAAAGCAATCTAATTCTACCCTCAGGTCTTGTCCCCTAGATGAGATTTCTGATCTTCTATAAGGCTAATGGTATGACATTAGGGAGCTGGGTGAAGGGGATCAAAGGAGGAAATGGAGAACATCCATAATACTCTCAAAAATAAAAATAAATTTTAAAAAAAAGGAGAACAAATAAAATAAAATAAAATAAAAAACAAAAAAGGTACCTGGAAGAGTTCTATTGGTTCCTTACTCAGAATTTCAACCTGGTATCTCCTGTTTTAGCCTTAAACCTTAGTCTCTGCCTTCAAAGATACCTGGTAACCCTGAGGTTGATCCACACTCTTTCTTTTTTAATTTATATCTTTTATCCATTGATTGTTGTTTTGGCAGGTTTCAGGGAGAGAGTAATGTATATTGTCATGTTCAAATAAAAGTCTTCTATACAAAGGGCCAAGAGACATATGAAGAAATGCTCAACATCACTAATCATCAGAGAGATGCAAATTAAAACAACAATGAGGTATCACCTCACACCTGTCAGAATGGCCGCCATCAACAAATCATCAAACAAGTGTTGGCGAGGGTGTGGAGAAAAGGGGACTCTAATACACTGCTGGTGGGAATGCAGACTGGTGCAGCCGCTATGGAAAACAATATGGTGCTACCTCAAAAAATTAAATATTGAACTTCCATTTGACCCAGTGATCCCACTGCTGGGAATATACCCTAGGAAGCCTGAAACACCAAGCAGGAAGAATATATGTACCCCCATGTTCATAGCAGCACTATTTACAATAGCTAAGATCTGGAAACAGCCCAAGTGTCCACCAGTAGACGAATGGATCAAAAAGCTGTGGTACATATACACAATGGAATACTATGCAGCGGTAAGAAAGAAAGATCTCTTATCCTTTGAGACGACATGGAGGGACCTGGAAAGTATTATCCTAAGTGAAAGAAGCCAAGCAGAGAAGGACAAATACCACATGATCTCACTTATATACGGAATATAATGAACATAACAGTCTGAGGAATACAGTAGACCCAGACACATGGAAGTGGGGCACAGACTGACATCCCTCAGAAGAGGGGATGGGGGGTGGGGGGGTGGGAAGGGATAAACCACAGAACTTATATGCATGTATGCATGACCAATGGACATGGACAACTAAGCCGGGGACAGGGTAGAGGGAGGGTGGGGTGGGGGGTGCCAATGGGGTAAAAAGGTAAAATATCTGTAACAAAAAAATAAATAAATAAAAATTTCAAAAAAAAATAAAAAAATAAACAAATAAAAGTCTTCTAAAAACAAACTATTTGAGCCACTGAGGTTGTTTTTAAATTGGTAACGTTACCTTTTCTATGCCAGGCTGACCACTTCTAGATCCTGAGTCAAGTCAATGGGTTTGGATTTTGTTAGTTACATTGGTTGGTTTTGTTTTGTTAAGAGAAACTCTTCAAGTTAGCATATAGGAAGAATAATCACCCAAATTTATATCCTGCAACTCACTATCGCCCACTTCCACAACTGAGAAGAGTCATTGTACAACGTCCAATGTATAACCTGGATGAGGTTGGACTAAAAACTGCTGAAGTTAAATCATTAAACTTTACATGAGCCACATTATTTTGAAGTACTGTGTGATAATATATAAAATGTTAAAAAAAAGAGACCTTCCAAATAAACTCATTTATATATTCTTGCTATATAACTATAAAGTCAAGGGACATCAGGTGAAAATTATCTCACTCAAATGCAAATTTTGACAGCTTTATGTTATAAGGTTTAAAATATCAGGCATGCCCTGGCCAGTTTGGTTCGGCAGTTGGAACACTGGCCCAAAGACCAAAGTGCCGCAGTTTTGATTCCTAGTCAAGGGCATGTATCTGGGTTGCAGGTCCGATCCTTGGCCCTGGAAGGGGTTGTGCAGGAGGCAACCAATCAATGTGTCTCTCTCACACTGATGCTTCTCTCTCTCTCCCCCTCCCTCCCTCCCTTCCACTCTATCTAAAAATGAATGGAAAAATATCCTCGGGTGAGGATTAAACAAAAAAATATATATGTATATATAAAATATCAGGCATTTTATTTTTATAGTTTTCTTTCCAAATATCTCACTTCCCAAGAGTTTACAAAAGTACCTCTAAAGATTAGAAATCTTTTTGTTCCCTTATGTATAGAATTCCTGGCAGACTTTACAAATTCATGGTTAGCCAACTTGGCCTTTCTTTTAAAACCAGCACACTTCCTACTTATTATGGGTGACAGGAAACCCTCTCACTCATTCTTATCTACAGAGGTATAATTGGTTTCAAAATGTTTGTTCACAGGTGAAAACACATAGCCAATTAATTCCTAATAAAAGAAATGTAGAAAAACAAATATATATTTTTAAGGGCAATGTAAGTTTAAGCATCAAGCTGGTAAATTGCAACTGTGAGTGATATAACTCTACAATATAGAAAACTATGAACTCTTACTACATCAACTATGTAAAAATTTCTAAAGCACCCAGGCACAAGGTAGTAGCTTGAAATATCAGTACATGTTATTTTGCCAGTTTGTAAGCTGGATCAACTAACATAAATTATACCCATTTAATCCACAAAATAATGTGGTTTTGTTTGTTCTGAAGACAAGACATTCCCTCACTGAAAGAGCACAGATAAACAGCAGTCAGCAGAGACCCATAATAGTCTATCATCAAAGACAAAATATATGTTGAAACAATGTGATGTCATAAGCTATAGGAAACTGAGACCAGGCTCCAACTCACTTAAGTTGTTTGCTCACACAGCAAAATTGGATATATCTATACATGAAGTCAGAGAATGCAAAAATAACAAGGGACAAATATACTATGAATTATGCATATTTTAAAGCAAAAGGCCTTTGTCACGTTTAATGATTATTTAAATCTAAAGGAAGAAGATAAATGAAAAATAATCATCTACATTAAATAAGATATAAGTATCCTTTAAATAGAAAATGGAAAGATAGATACCTGCTGTGTTCTGTGTACACACTTAACAGCCATCCACTTTTGCTCAGAGCTAAAAGGATATTCAGCTTTTCTGATATAGTCCTGTTGAACTCCATCAAGGCCCATCTATATGGCACAAAATGAAAGTTAATTCTCACTAATATGTGACTATTTTTTCCTTTAACAAAGAACAAAGGTCATAACTTGTAACTTGTAGCTAGGCTAGCTGAATTATTTTTCAAATAATGGTGATAAAAGAGCAGTACCCCATCTATATATACTGTATTTCTCTGAACAGCAGCATACATATTCAACATAAAAGCCTGGGTGTTTAGATACCTAAACTGTATAAAGACTAAGTCTTCAACAATGATTATATTAAAATCTTTACTGACTCCAATTCTAGAAGAAAGCAGAATACTACTAAAGGTACCCAACCAAAATGAGCATTTACTTTTATAATGAATAGAAATTTCAGATTCAATTCTTGATGCCTAAGGGATTCAACTTGTCTGCTGCTACCATCCTACTCTCTTACACTCTCATCCTGCCACTTGATATTCTGACTACTACCAATGTCATGTAGCTGCTCTCCCTACCAATACCCTGTTGTATTTTCCTCCAAATAGTCAAAAATACTTTCTAAACTACTCAAAAACTTAGTTTATTGCTTTTTGTTGACATTTTGTTGTCTGTTGAAACATGTTGATACTCTTCTTCGTGGCTTTTAAAGGTCCTCCAGAAACTGACCTTAGAGCCCATTTAACAATCCCCCTAGGTTACTCAAACTCCTTCCATTTCATCCAGGTTAACCAATTCAAAAGCCACAATCCATTCTATGCTTATTCCTCTATGCTTTTATTCCTGCACTTCTCTAGCTTAACTACTATCTTAACCCTTCTTATCCTTCAAGGACCAGGTCCCAAGTCTAAACTGGCACTGTTCTTATGTGTGGTTCAGTGTTTTAGGACTTAACTGTCCACTATCTTGGTCAGCTTTTTATTTGTTCTAAGCACATCAGTGTTAATGTCCTACTAAAAATGTGAGCCCCCCCTCCCCCCAATAAGGAACTAGATTCAGATTCTTTATCTCTCAAAGAGATAAAGTTAAGTAAAGCACAGTAAACCTGATTAACTGATTCAACTTAAAAAAAAAAAATTCAACATTTGAATATCTTTTATAAAGCTATATTATGATATTTTAGGTATAAGGAGAACAAATGATAATTAATGGTACTGTCTGTTAAGGAAACATATATATTCTAAAAATATCAATTTTATTTTCTTAAATGTTATAATAACCAACATTTCAATATTGAATCTCAATTCAAGCAACCTCATTTAGAGGCATATTCTGTTTCACAAAAGTCTCAAAGTTTTCTAAGACTTCTCTTAAAAGTGGAAATTTTATTTTTGTTTGGGAGTGACAGATTAGACTTTTAGGTTTCTCATTTAATCAAATGTAGGACTTAGGAGAAGGGATCAATTGAAATAGATAAAAGGGTCATTGAGGAAAATACCCCATCTCCCTAACACAAATTCCAACTCTGGGTTCATTTTAAGAGTAATAATGAAGGGAAATGGAAGATTGGATGTCCTTAATATCTTTACATGGAAATACTGAAGTGTCTTTTACACATTTGAAAGTTAGTATTTATCGGCAATAACATACATAAAGTTTTTCACACAAAACTCTAAATAGTATAGACAACAGAAACATTTCTTCATTAGAAGAAACTATCACTGGCCATTACTTTTTTTTTTTTTTTTTTTTTTGCATATAAGGCATAAAGTTATACTGAGAAAGCTCTATGCTCTGTATTTCCAAGACTAAAACTGGTTTCCAAAAGGCAGTAAAAACAACATACCTAAAACCAGTAATACTGAAATTGATGGCCTCACATTCTCTTGTAAGGGTGATATTTTATGTGTCAAAGAAGAGAGATTAGGCACATACCTTCATTGCAAGAGCAATTAAGGCTCCTTCTGTTGGCTTCCCCATTAGAGTGTTGTTTCTAATTACAGCATCATTGCACACACAGCCCGCCTAAGAGAAACACACATAAACTATGAAACCATCACTATGTCCTAAGTCATTATGAAGAAAGTCACCTACTTAGAAAATAAATGTTTACCTCAACAATTCTACTAACAGCTGGGTTACAGAATCCATGAACCACATCACCATCAACAATCACTTCTCCAAATGGATTATAGCCAACTCCAGTAACCTAAGGAAAATAAAGTAGGGTCAAGAGTGTAACAGGTAGTGACATTACTTAAGAAAACCATAATCTAGCCCTGGCCTGTTTGGCTCAGTGGTTAGAACACTGGCCCTCAGACTGAAGGGTCGAGGGTTCCATTCCTGGTCAAGGACACGTATCTGGGCTACAGGTTCGATCCCTGGCTCAGGTCAGGATTGTGCGGGAGGCAACCAGTCAATGTGGCTCTCTCACATTGATGTTCCTCTATCTCTTTCCCCACTCCTTCTCTTTCACTCTATCTAAAAATTAATGGAGAAGGAAAAATATCCTCAGGTGAGGATTACCAGAAAAAAAAGAAAAGAAAACCAAAATTCTATGATGAGTTACTCATTTCATTTTATACATTATGACACTGTTAGCATGTATACATAAAAAAGCATTTAAATTTGTCTAAAAGAACATTTAATAATTAAAGGAATATAAATTCTAATTTTTGCCACAATGATAAACCTTTAGTTAATTATACTAATAATTAAGTATAATTAATAATTACAATTATGTACTTATATCAAAAGTAGAAACATAATTGTTAATATAATTAATATAATCTTTTGTTTCCACCTTCAATATACTATAACATATATATAAACCATGAAAATCTCTATACATAAGTGAGTTTAAATGTATAAAACATTATATTATTAACATATGATATGCAAACGATTCAAGTCCATTACCACAAACTTGTGATATAGACAAAGGCAGAATTCTTCTTGCAAATATGCAGGCTCAGAGACATTAAGTGATTTATTCTGGCACTTACAAGCTACTTTAATAGTATATTAACACCAGTTTTAAAAATCAGAGGTTGAGACAAGCCATATACTTATTCCATATGGCTAGAACAAACTAAGCCAAACAAAAGTTAAATTTCACAACAAAAATAAGACAATTTAGCTCTGGCCAGTTTGGCTCAGCAGTTGAGCGTCAGCCTGCACACCAGAGAGTCCGGGGTTCGGTTCCCAATAGAGGCAAGTACCACAAAAAAAAAAAAAAGACAATTTAGAGAGAAATTAACAAATGGTTAATGCTTGACATACAGAATTATGCGCTTAAAACAAGAGAAACTTAAATCCTCTACCTTCCATACCTGGGCCATATAAGCACATGTAATCCCAATGACCTGAGTCATCTAGAAAAGGTACACTCAACAACATAGCATTGGATATCCTTAACCAAATCTAACACCCTAAATATTAACAGTTTCATTTTAAGGCCTATGGAATTAAATAAACCTAAGTACAAGTTCTGTCTATTTGTCTAATACTTTGCTCAGTAAATTGGCTCTAAATACATTTTAAAATATTATACCCATAATAAGTAGTGTTAATGAACATTCCAACCAGAAATCCTGCCAAGAGTAAGTGAAACTGCAACTTGTCCTCATCCAGCTTCAAAATTAACCAATACACATACCCTGATATGCACTTAAAAGACTGCCAATATATAATTTCTAATATGAAGTAATTCATCCATTCATTTATTCTTTCAACAAGTATTAACTGCTATTAGTCAGGCCCTGTGCTGGGCAACAGAGTTCTTACATTTTCACAACTTATAGTATAATGGAAAGAGGGAAAGAAAATTTGACCTGGACTAAGGACTAAAAGGTATTAAGTTTTATAAAAAACACCAAACATAGGCCATTTCTGCTGGTCAGCTTTTCTGAGAAAGTGGAGTTGGAACCAAGGTACAAAAGATGAAGAGGTTAGCAGTGAAAACAGCAGCAAAGGTCCTGATGTAGCAATAATTTTGTCTCACTGAAATAACCATTAAAGCAGTATGTTTGGTGCACAGAAAGCAAAAGGAAAAAATAAGGCTGAAGAAGGAAATAATGGACATTAACATGGAGGGCCTTACGAGGCCACACTTCAGGATCTTGGTCACAATGAAAAGTAACTCAAGCATCTTAATTTAGGGAATGACATACTCTAAATCTGGTTCTAAAAGATTCCTGAAGCTGCACACAGAGCGAGGACATCAAGAGTTCAGGATGTAGAGGTGATTAAAAGAGAAGTGTCAATCAGGACTCAAAGTTTCTGAACTACACCACTGGAGTGAGATCAAGACATGATAGAATCACATGGGAAGGAGAAAGTTCTGCTGCTGACTAATGTATAGTCATTTTGAAGGTAAGATACTAGTCAAGATAGTTAAACACCAAGTTTCTTAACAAAGAAATATTGTTGTTAAAAGAATCTATCAGTACCTCAGCATGCAGACCATCTGAAGTAAATATGTGAGTAACAGTCATTTCATTCTTCGTCAGTGTTCCAGTTTTATCTGAGCAAATGACATTACAGCAGCCTAAAGAATAAACCATTACAGGTCACCAAAAGTCAAGGAGAAATACAAGTTCACACTGATAACAAAGCAAAGACTGTGGAAGCCTGTCCTACTTGTTCTGAATTCTGTACAAATCAATTTCAATGATAATTTTAGCCTGTCTGCTTCATTGTAAGGTAGTTTCTGAAATTAAAATTAGATATTGATAAATGTTGACTTTTTCTTATATATTTACAGTTGAATTTCTTCCAAGTTACTCGATATTAGCTTTATATAATAATTTTATATAATACATTTTCTAGAAAGTTTTAAGGATACCTAAATATAAATCCATATAATTTTTTATAAACCCATATAATTTTTTAAATCACTATTTTAAGGTATTTTACCTTCTCAATAATAAAATGCAAACTAGAAATTAAACTCAACAATTTTAGATTCCTAAATTTAAAAAAAAAATAAGTTTCATAGCATACAAAGTTATTGCAGTTTTCATATCACATATAACGTTGTATTATAGCAATGTAACTTATATATTTACTGTTCTTATCAGTGAATTCTACTTAAGTATGACATTTTAAAATCTATAATTATCAATTATCTTTCTTGAGTTGTCAAAAAAAATCTACTCAAGGTTTCATGTTATATGGATTTTTTAAAGCATGATTTAAAAACCAGAACATTCCATGATACAGAAAAATTTCTCTTAAAGTCACCATCCTGAGTGACATGCATTTTTAATTACTTTTTTGGTTGTTAAAACAATACTCACATTACCATAAGCCAAACACCACAATGCAAATCTCTAAGACAAAAATTGTGAATTAACACATCATAGCATAAGTAGGCTTTTTCCAGAGACTTACCCAGAGTTTCAACTATAGGCAGTTTTTTCACAATGGCCCTTTTCTTCACCATTCTCATAACACCAAGGGCTAGAGTCACTGTGACCACAATGGGAAGACCTTCAGGAATTGCTGCTACAGCCAAGCTGTAACCAATGTTTACATAGTATTAAAGTTTAAGTTAAATAGTAACCACAGCAATAATTTCTGTTACTTAAAAAATGCAAAATTAATACTGTCAATACCCAAAAATGGCCTCACAAGAAAGGGAAAGTTAACATTTACCAGACATCTACTAGTCGTCAGGTTAAGCAGTGGTTAAAGAATATAGGTTCTAACATCAGATTGCTTAGATTTGTACCCCTAGTTTCTCCACTTTTAACCTGTGTGATCCTGAGCTATTACTCTACCTTTGTAGTTTAGTTTCCTTATCTACAAATATAGATAACAATAACAGATTCACACAAAACTTGTACATGAATGTTCATAGCAGCACTATTCACAACAGACAAAGGGTGGAAAGAGCCCAAATGTCCAACAACTGATGAATGGGAGATTGTGGTATATCCATATAATAAAGTATTATTCACCCATAGGATGGAGTATTATGCATCCATAAAAAGGAATGAAGTACTGATACATGCTCACCATGTATTAACCTTGAAACATCAAGTTACGTGAAAGAAGTCAGAGACAAAAGGACATAGATGATTCCATTTATATGAAATACCAAGAATCAGCAAATCCATAAAGATAGAAAGCAGTTTAGTGGTTGTCAAGGGCTAGAGAGACAAAACAATGAGAATGATTGCTTAATGAACACAGAGTTTTTCTGGGGGGTGATGAAAAAGTTCTGACACAGTGGTGATGATTATAAAACATTATGAATGCACTTAACTGCATTGTATATTTTTAAAATAAGTAAATTTTAGGGGATGTATTATTTTATCATAAAAAATTTCATTTCTTTACCATTTCTCTTGTGATATAAAAAATAATCTCTATTTCTACCCTATTTCAAGTATTATCTCTTGGCTCGAAACAAATAAGGACATGTGCATTTCTATTCTTCATTCTAACACTGTTCCTTTCTCTACTTCTACTTCCCAATTTCTATACTTACTTTTTTTTACATGATCTAACTTGGTATCATTAAGTATTCTGTTCTATAACCATAATTAACTTTTTCAAGTTAAAGGTTGATTCAAATAACATTTACAATACCACTGCCTAAACAGTGAATAACATTTACAATACCACTGCCTGGAGTCAAGAACTGTGTGCCATCATTAATGCTTCCTTCTCTCTTTTGAACTATTCCAAGTTCAAATAGAATCCTCTTTTCCTATGCTCTCATTAACCTTCACTGTATAAGGAAAATTGGGCATCATCATTGACAGTCTAGAACCAATGGACCCTTCCATGCTTTCCTATTGAAGTCATTTTATAAGTAATTTGCAGAGGAATAAAATGAATAGTGAAAATTTTCACTTGAATTTTAACTATATTTCCAAGTTTGAAGGTATATATTCTCTGAAATGGACAATGTCCTTTAGATGCAACTAACTGCTCATTAACGGTCATGAATGACTGTGAAAAATATTCACCTTATAAATAGTGATTTCAAATTTAAAAAATATTTCTAATAAGTTATAGGTTTATCAATTCTGGTTCTTTTTTTAATTTAATTTTATTTTTTAATCCTCACCCGAAGATATTTTTCTATTTGTCTTCAGATAGAGTGGGAGGGAGGGAGAGAGAAACATCGAAGTGAGAGGAACACATCCACTTGTTGCCTCCCGCAGGACCCAACTAGGGGCGGGGATGAACCACAACCGAGGTACATGCCCTTGACCAGAATCAAACCCGCGACTCATTGGTCCACGGGCCGACGCTCTAACGGCTGAGCCAAACTGGCCAGGGCTGGTTCCCTTTTTAAATGTTGTTTCTTCAAATGCAACACTTCTGAAAATGTTGGTTCATAACTTTGTTGAAAAGAGGATAGTCATCTTCTTTGTAACATATTACTAAACATTTTCATTTTAAGATTTATAAATACCAATTATAATGGTGAATCCAATGAAGTATTTCATTTCTATGCCATCTATTTCCTTTTTATCACCTTTATGTTCATAACAGCCTTCAGCATTTCTCCACTTATAAATGGTATGAAGTAAATGTTGGTAAACAAATATAAAAGATGAAAGGATACTGTCATACATTTTTTTTAACAAAAAGGGGTGCTCCAAGTTCTTGTTGCAAAACACTGCATGATAAATTCCTTGCATGACTAACAGGAAGAAAATACCCGTCCTTCCCTTTTTGTCCTTAAATATACAACATTCGCTCGTTAATTTAGGAGTTGGAGAAAATCTAGACTATCATCATCCAAGGACTCACAGTGTTGAAATTTCACTTATATAAATTAATTTCAGCCTCATCATTATAGCCTATACTGGTTATCTCTTTGCAGTTATCTTCTGGTTTGTCTAATAATTGTGATAATTTTTCTGTCAATTATTCGTTGCCATTATGGTAGAAAATGAAAAATTCTGTACTCTCAACTTTAATTAATGAAAAAAAAAAAAAAAAAAGTACAGAGACTGTATCTTCAGACTTCTTTTATACCTAAAGTGATGTAAATACTTTGGGCAATATAATAAGAAAATTAAAGGATAACAGAGCTTTGACGAATTACTCCATTATAAACATCAACTTATAAGCAACCCCATCATTCTGCTTTCTTATTGTTTTACTCATGTTTAGCACAGTTGGAAATAATTGTTAAAAGAATTGCTAGAATAAAGAAATAGAAAATGTTTCAATACATAGGAAAAATAAGGTCACTAAAGATCCTATAATGCATCTTAGATATATGGACCAATATATGGTCATTGCAAAATAGAGTGAGTTTTATTCTATTAAAGTTTTTTTAAATGTTTGTGCTTTCAAAGACCTTGAAGTAGAAATAATGATCATGATTTATCAACTTCACAAATAATTTAAACTGCTCAAAAAAAAAATTACTTTCAAAAGTTAAAAATCCGACCAATAGATAATATGCCAACACTTAGTATCTCAAACTCATGCCCTATTTTAAGTTTAATTTGTATTTAACCCAAGGACAGATTTAAGTCAAGATTTTCAAATTATATTTTTGCCACTTAGAGAAAAAAAATTATACTGCTTCACCATATCACAATTATCTTTTAACCTCTTATTCATCCTATGTATTCCTTGTAATCCACTCATCTTTTAATTCATTGACTTTTTTTGTTGTTGTTAATCTTAGAGGGACAGGGAGGAAGGGAAAAGAGGGAGAGGTAGAGAGAGGGAGGGAAGGAGTCTGAAAGGAGGGGAAGGTGGAAGGGGGGAGAGAGAGAGACCAATTTGTTGTTCTACTTTATGCATTGCACTGGTTGATTCTTGCATGTGCCCTGACCAGGACTCAAACCAGCAACTTGGGCTTATCGATCGAGAAGATACTCTAACCTACTGAGCTACCAGCCAGGGCCTTAAACCTTTACATTTTCTTCTAATTCTTGAACTGTAACTTCCTAGATTTATGTTCCTTAGATCCTCAGGTGAGTTCCACTCTCACTTATACCCCATACATCATTATCTTCCTTTCTTTTACCCTAGTTTTGCTGGAATTCATATAAGGATATGTAAGGGATAAATTTTCTGAGTACCTGATTATCTATTAATAATTAACTGGATTGTTTATTACAGGCTTAAAATCATCTTCCCCCATACTTTCATAGTACTGACCCACTGTATTCTATGGTAATTCAAAGTTGCTGTGGAGGAAAGATTCATAAAATCCTTTTCCCCTTCTATTGATTAAATCTCTAGGTTTGTTCCCTCTAGTGACCTGATAAAGGCAGTATGTCAACTATGTTGCTAAGCAACATCTCCTGACTGATAAACTATCTATCTATGGACTGGGAGAATTCTAATCATTTTACAGGAAGCCATAGGTTTGGGTTTCCTGATTGTAGTAACTCTTAACTAACTAGACATGTTTCTTGCAGGCACCCTGGAAAGTGTATGTTTCCAGAGATGTTGGTTCCTGTAGAATATGAAGCATTATAACCTAGAGTCCTGCACCCACGAAATCTTCCTATTTCCTTGTACCTAAACTGAACCGCTATACAATATGCTGCAACAACTCTCTCAGAAGAGGGATCCCTGAAGTTGCCCTGCTGTGTTCAGGGCACAGGTACCAGATGAGACCTATAAAACTCTTCTGAGTTGAAATGTCTAGTAGAGCCTAAAAAAGCCTTGTGATGGGAACTGCAGTTGCTAATTAGAAGTCTGATACCTGTCTAATTAGCCTTCCTTTGTAGATGACCTAACTTATTGTCTTTAGTTTCACAATGATGCATCTAGGTTGGAGTTTTTTCCATCTTGTCTGGCATTTAGAGAATCCTTCCAAACTATAAAGATTCACGTCTCGCTTCAGAGTGAGAAAACATTAATGTATCATTTCTTATATAATTTCTTCTTACCTCTTTTTGAGACTCCTATTAGATAGATATGGCAGTTAACTGGATTATTCTATTTGTTAGATATGGCAGTTAACTGGATTATTCTATTTGACACTTTTATCTCATTCTCTGTTCTGGACTTTTTATTCTAATTTTTGGGAGACCTCTTCAATTGTATATTACAGGCCTTAAATTGAAATTTTAATTTCAGCAATCATAATCTTAATTTCTAAAAGCTCTTGTTGTTCTGTATCCTTTTCTATGGCAATCTATCATGAATGCAATTTCTTCACAAATCTCTGAAAATAAAAATGCTGTTTATTTTTATTTTTTTTATATTTTTATATGATTTTATTAACTTATTTTTTTTAAGAGAGAGAAGAAGGGAAAGGGAGAAAGGGAAACATCAATCAGCTGCCTCCCACATGCTCCCTACTGGGGACTGGCCCACAACCCAGGCATGTGCCCCTACAGGGAAATCAACCAGTGACCTCTTGGTGCATAGGAAGACACTCAACCAACTAAGCCACACAAACCACAGCTTTCTTCCATTTCTTGAATTTTTTTTTATTTTCCACTAAAGTTGATTATCAGTTTCTATATTTAATCCTGCTAGCTTTTATTTGTCAATCCTTAACTGTCTACATATAAAAATGCAATAATGGGTTGATAATACAAGACATCTAGTATGGGTTTTCTCCACTGTCATATATGTTGGTTTTAATTTTCTTAGAGTTCATTTAATATATGAATTCTGAACTATTTAAGTAGAGATATTATACTCATATGCTCATATGATACCTTCACAGTCGAACATAAGCTATGCCTAGCAGAGAAATGAGAGGAGCAAAAGAGAATGCCATTTATAAACAAACCATTAGAACTTACCTTACACTAATAGTAAACATTTCCAGGATATCTTTTCCTAGTAACCAGCCAACCAACATGATGATACCTGGAACAGAATCAAATAGCTTTTTTTCTTTTTTATATAAAATGTCTTAGGCATAGAAGGGATAAAATAACATGTTGAGGGCAGTAAAATATTCCTTGATATTAAAGGGAAAGTATATCAGGAAATGATTACAAGATTTTACAAAAATCCATTAAGCAGGAGAGATTAAAGTTAACCCTGTGATGCACGCATGTAAACACGTACACACATTTTACCTTTTGTTGCCATTGTTAGCACCCATACCTTAAAGCAATAGTATCTGAGCGCTCCCAGTATAAAAAAAAACCAATACCAGTATTTTCATACAATGAAGGGGGAAAAGATCACATTTGACACATAGGTCTTCTATTTATTATCAACTTTGCAACAATAAACCCTAGAACTTTACTTTTCTTAACTCAATATCCAGACATTATATATTAACTTTGTAATACAAACAAAGAAGTATTTAGGACTTGGCTCAAATAGTGATGTATCTTACCTAAGACTGCATTAACATTCTTAAATTACTACTTTTATAGCATTTAAAAATAAAAAATTAATTAACATAAGTGAAACAACTAATTCCATATTCTCTGCTTTAACCTTTGTCTTTGAAAAGAAGGGGTGCAAAGGGTGCACTACTAATTTTATGAGAAAAAAAACATAATAAAGCAACTTCGAGACTGTGTTGTAAATCAATATAATATTTAAACAAGTTTATCTTCATCTTTCTAGAACTACAAAATAATGATCGAGATCGTGACCTTCTAAGATCCTATCCCAAATATTCTAACAAAAGAAATTATGTTCAATAAATTATACCATGCGTCGGCAAACTATATAATCTATGGGCCTCCTGTACATTTTTTATAAATAACATTTTCTGACATAGCCACACCTATTTGTTTATGTATTGTCTATGATTACTTCTGTGCCCACGGCAGAGTTCAGTATTTCTGAGAAGGGCTCTATGGATCTAAGGCTAAAATATTTGTTATCTGGCCCTTTACCAAAAAAAAAATCTACTAACTCCAGATTTTGATCTTGACTCTTACCATATTCTATATATTAGCTTAAAAGGAAAAATTATGTCCAATGCATTATGTAAAACCAAGTAATCATAAAGTTAAAAGATTTTTATCCCTAAGTCTGAAGTGGTTTCATGGTACAATGTTAATATAAATGGGAAAGATTTAATTATCTAAATGCCTTTCAATATATCAAATTCACTATATATCGTAGAAAATAGATATCAATAATCAAATGAAAGAAGCTATGAGAACAAACATATCAGTTAAACAAGAACAAAATATCTTCCCACCTTCTACTTTATGTTTACGATGAAAACAAATGTAATATAATTAGTATTTAAGGAATTATTTCTCTCAAAGTATACAGTAGAAATATTGCTTTAAAATGCATTATTGATTAAAAACATTAAGCTAACAAGAATAATTAAAGTTACATTATGGAGCCAGGCCAGTGTGGCTCAGTGGATTAAGCATTGTCCCATGGATTGAGAGGTCCCGGTTAGATTCCCAGTCAGGACATATGCCTGGGTTGCAGGCTCAATCCCCAGTAAGGGGCATATAAGAGGCAGCCAATCAATGTATCTCTCCCATCGATGTTTCTCTTTCCCATCAATGTTTCTCTCTCTCTCTAAAAAAACAATCAATAAAAATATATTTAAAATAACATTATGGAAAAATTAAAGGAGAAAAGATTCCAAGTTACTGCAAGTGTTTAATGTATGATAAAAATGTCATTTCTACTCAGTGAATTAAAGAATGGACTACAGAACTGATGGTCCTGGAATAATTAACTTTTCAGTAAAAAAGTTATAACTCTACCTCAAGTCCTTTACTGAAATAAATTCTAAATATAATAGTAAACTTAACTGTGAAAAAAACTAAAATAATAGAATCATATTTAAATAAATATATTTATAAACATAAATATTTTCCCAACATGGAGTTTGGAGAGCCCTTATGCATAGAACAAAGACGGAAACCATAGTACAGAGATTATCAACTGAAGGGTGCTATAAAAATCTCAGGGCAAGAGGGTGTAAGAGGATGTTTCAATTGCACATATCTCCCTCCTCTCTAAGTTTAATATGTAAAAATGTGTGTGTGTGTGTGTGTGTGTGTGTGTGTGTATAATTGGGGGAATATACTTAGAACACAAAAATAGAACTATGTCCTAATTATATAAAGATCTGTTACTAATCTAGGACTCAAGCCACAACAAAAGAAGGGACAAAGAAAGTTTGGCAGGTCCTAAAAGTAGACCAACACACATATGACAAAATGTTCAGTTACTTAATAATAAATTAATAAAATAATTAGAAGTCTTTTATTCCCTTGTTAATGACAACAAAGTTGACAAGAGTGCTAGAAGAGAGACACTGTTACCCTGCTGATGAAGGATACTATTTGGCAATATAAAACAAATGCCTTTAAAAACATGCGAAAAAATTTTAAATTACATGAATACTATTTGTTTTTAACCCAATAATTCTACTTTTAAGAATTTATTCTAAGGAAATGAAAGGTATTTACAATAAGATACCTGCACTGAAGAAACATTTACATAATTGGGAAAAAAAACCCTACAGAAATGTCTAAGAGATGCCTGATATATAGACACAAGGGTGGGCAAAAGTAGGTTTGCAGTTGTGAGTACACAAAGCAGAATTTATTCTTTTGAGTTAATAAAGCTATTGTGTTTTTTTTTAATGTTTTTTTTTATCCTCACCTGAGGACATTTTTCCATTTTTTTGTTCAGATAGAGTGATAGGGAGAGAGAGGAAGAGAGAGAGAGAGAAACATCGATGTGAAAGGGACACATCGAGTGGCTGCCACCCGCACGACCTACCAGGGCCGGGGACAAACTGCAACCGAGGTACATGCCCTTAGCGGGAACTGAACCCGGGTCTCTCTGGACCGCAGGCCAACGCTCTAACCGCTGAGCCAAACCGGCCAGGGCTAATAAAGCTATTGTAACAGTCATAACTTGCATGTCTTTCCATTTCTATACAAATAACTGTAAACCTACTATTGCCTATCCATATATATAAAATGTGTGCACACAATGGAATACTATACAACCTTTCCATTTGTTTTATATAAGCATCTATTTAATGACAAGTTGTTTATGACAGGATATGTGAAGTAAAAAAAAAAAGTAGTCCATAAAACAATACTATCAAATTTTGTTGAAGACAAGAAATACTGTTTACAAAAACTCTCTTTAATTATAGGAATTAAACAGAGTTCTGGTTTATCTTTGTAGAAAAGAACAATGCTGAGGGTTTTATCATTTTTTAAAAGTGGCTAAAATTTAGTTAATTAAATGAATAAATTTATGTATGTATGTATGTATTTAAACTTTCCCTTCATACTCCAAAAAAACAAAAATAACCACCTAAGTAAATATATGATGTATACATACTCACTCTTCTCTTACCTATTATACCAAAGGAATAAAAGGAAAGTTGTTTTCCTAAGAGGTCCATGCTCTTCTGCAGAGGGGTTTTCGGTGCCTTAACAAATTAGAAAAGAGGGTTACACAATTAGTTAAACTTAGTAAGATATTCTAGGTGCCAGGGACTCTGGTAAGTGCTTGACATAACTTTCCTTTGAGGTAAATATTACCCCCTTCACTGAAAAGACTGAGGCTTACACTTTAAAAAATCTGTTTATCTGCAAAGTTCCATGTTCCCTATGCCTCTCTTTAAGGAAAAATCTACTCTTCCAATCAACTTCTCCAGAACTTCATTACCATCAGCTGCCCCTCACCTTTCCCATCTTTCTCCTTTCTGTATCCACAAACATGTTTGTAACCCAAGTCTTTTTATCCTGTTGGCTCCCTGATCTGCTAATGCCCTTCTCTAGCGGTCTCTTCACTGCCAAACTTCTTAGAATGGTTTTCACACTGCATAAGGAATAATAGAGTCTTGGTAGGTTACCTGGGAAATCCAGATGATTTAGGGAGAATATGATATTTGTAGAATGCAAATTCTTTTTTAGATACACGAGAATATTTTAAATGAGAAAACTAATCTTCAAAATCCTTAAATAAGAATTTCTTCCGAATTATTTTACTTTGCAATCTTTTTTCCCATTACTTGGAATTATGTAAAGCTGGGGATTTTGGCAGAAGACATGTTCTGAGCTACAAATACACTATTTAGTAATCTTTAAAAGTAATATGATAGCTCTGGTCATTGTGGATCAGTTAGCTAGTTATAGTCCTGTGCACCAAGAGGTTGCCAGTTTAATTCCTGATCAAGGGCACCAAAATTTCATGCTCGAACTACAGTAGGGGGCATGAGAGAGGCTGCGACTGATGTTGCACTCTCACACTGATGTTTCTATCTCTCCTTCTCCCTTCCTCTCTTTTTTTTTTTAAAAAAGGAATATGATAAAGCTAATTTCTAAAAAAAATTAGCCCTATAAATAACTATAAACCTTTTTATCCTATGAACAATGAATAAGTATCAAAATGAGTTTAAGAATGTCAATTCAAGCCCTTTCAATTACAGGTTTTCCAATTATGTTTTTATGCATAGACAACTGAGTGATATTCTGAATAAAATTTTACTGTCAATAGTACATAAAATAATCTACCACTATTCTCTTTTGCACTACTTACAATAGAGAATGTTAGATTTGAAACTAATGTATCATTAACAAATGAAGTACTCACTTCTTCTGCTTGCATCATTTTAAAAACCTCTCCAAATTCAGAATTTTCTCCTGTTCCAATGACAATACCCTAAAGCGAAAAACAGGTAAATATATTTACATTCAGATGAAATCACCTCTCTCAACAACAAAAAACCACCTTCATTCCATTTCTCCAAAACCATGCCTATAGTAAAGATATCTGACATATATTCCAAGGTTCCCTTAATAAATTTACACCTTGATGTTACTATATATTATTAGTATTTACCCCTTGTGAAACAAACCTTAAAAACATTTCATTAAACTCTGACTCAATTCTGAAGTTCATGTTTTGTTTATATTAGTATTTCTGAAATTTGAATCTTATACTCAGTAGAGAGATTTAAAATAGAATATTTGTGTCCTCTCAAATGCTATTGAATGATGCCTTTTATATTTTGTGAAATATCAGAATCAGGAAACAAAATACTTGCAATCAATCAGGAGGTAAATGGTATGCAGTCAGAATATTATAGCCAGTACTACATCAACTAAGTTCAAATTTTATTTAACCAGTAATGAACATATCCATGAGCCACTGTTTCTATCTTTTTAAAAAAAGAGAAAGAACAGGTACTGAAGACTATGCCTTTAAAGGATCCATTATCTGGTAAACAGCAGAACTGTGGACAGATATATTATACCTCAGGGACACAGCTTCTCCTCAGCCTCACAAATAGGTAGCTGCCAAAGGATAGGTTCAATTTTGTTGTTTCTATCTCATATTTTGAAAAGACTCACATTAAATTAGCAAAAAAGAACTGAAAAAAGGGTTGAAAAAAAAGGAACAGCTATTTTCAAAACAAGAAAAAAAATTTACCTTTGCTTTGCCACATCTGACCAGTGTTCCCATGAAGGCAATGTTGCTTCTTGATGCAAGATCTCCATTAGTTGCAGCCAGCTGAGGAGCTGTGACCTTAGAACAAGGCGTTGTCTCTCCTGTCAAGCTGGACTCATCAATGGAAAGATCCACAGCCTTGGGGAACATAAAGCACTGCATTACATTCAAGGATGAAGACTCTGTGCGGCACATTTAACATCTGAAAAGTGTGTACCTATCACTTCTTCCTCAAATATTCCCTTTCTATTAATTACCCTAATCTTTTATCATATCCATTATTCTAAAACAGAAAACCAGAATAAGTACAACCATATTTCAAGATGAAGTTAAGTCAACAACATCCGAAATGCAAAGTAGAATGCTACACCAGGAGTCAAGACTAACCTAAATTTCAAAATACAACTAGAGAGAAAAGGACACTAGCTAAAACCTAATCTTTACAGAAAACTCAACTCTCATGATAAAATATTATTTCCTTATTTTGTCATGCCCTAAAGTTCTGAAAATGTGTTTGGCAGATTAAAACCAACCATAACAGAAAGATAAATATGAATAAAAGGCATAAAAGGTACTGAGAAAGAAATCACTTCATCATTTTGGGCTCAATTTTCATGAAATTTTTCCTGCTATACATCCCTATATTTATCTTAAATGTACATTAGCAAGAATAAAGAAATGTACACAATGTTATAAACTTTAAACAAGTATATATAAACAATTCCATGCAGATCATGAATATCATATTATCTTCTAACTCTGCAATAGTGTTTAATTCTGACGGTTTTACTCCTACTACAATTAAGCATTCACCCACCCAAGTATGCCAAAAAAAAAAATCACCATTCTATATGTAAAAAACACTCCAGATGTTACCTGGCTCTGTTTCTGAAAGTATGGTCCAGAGAACAATAGATCCAAGTATGTTAATAGGTATATGTAAGGTAAGGGTTTTCTTCTGGTAGTGATGAGAATGTTCTATAGTTAGACTGTGGTAATGATTGCACAACTCTATATATACTGAAAACCAGTGAATGGTACATTTTAAATGTGTAAACTGTATGGACTATGATTATTTCAATAAAGCCTTTTTTAAAAAATATTTTTGTATGTTCTGGACCAGCACTTTTGGCATGAACTAAGAGCTAGTTAAAAATGCAAAATCTGCCCTGGCTGGTTTAGCTCAGCGGTTAAAGCGCCCACCTGCGGTCCGGAGAGACCCAGGTTCGGTTCCCGCTAAGGGCATGTACCTTGGTTGCAGTTTGTCCCCGGCCCTGGTTGGTCGTGCGGGTGGTAGCCACTCGATGTGTCCCTTTCACATCGATGTTTCTCTCTCTCTCTCTCTTCCTCTCTCTCCTTCCCACTCTGTCTGTACAAAAAATGGAAAAAAAAATGTCCTCAGGTGAGGATAAAAAAAAAAAAAAAAAATGCAAAATCTGGCCCAGCCGGTATGGCTCAGTGGTTGAGCGTCAACCCATGCACCAAGAGATGGCTGGTTCGATTCCCAGTCAGGGCGCATGCCGAGGTTGTGGACCAAATCCCCTGTGGGTGCATGCAGGAGGCAGCCAATCGATGTTCTCTCGCACTGATGTTTCCATCTCTCTCTATCTCTCCCTCTTTCTCTCTCTCCCTCTCTCTCCCTCTCCTTTTCTCTCTCTCCGTAAAATCAATAAAGAAAAAACAAATTAATTAAAATGCAAAAGCTGCCCAGCTGGGTGGTTCAGTTGGTTGAGTACCATACTGTACACCAATAAAGTTGCAGGTTTGATTCCCGGTCAGAGCACATGCCTAGATTGTGGGTTCGATCCCCATTCAGGGCACATACTAGAAGCAACAAGAGATGATTCTCTTCTTTACTCCATCTCTCTGAAATCAATGGAGATGTCCTCGGTGAAGATTAAAAAAAAAAAAAAATTCAGTTCCAGCCCAGATTTGCTAAAACAGAACCCAGATGATTCCTATGTACATTAAAAGTTAGCACACATTGCCCTAGGGCAACTATGTCACACTTAAAATATTAAGTGGTTCCTTGGCTCAGCGGTAGAGTGTCAGCCTGCGGATCAAAGAGCTGCGGGTTCAATTCCAGTCGAGGGCATGTACCTCAGTTGCAGTTCGGTCCCCAGCCCTGGTCAGGGTCATGCGGGAGGCAGCCAATCAATGTCTGTCTGTCTGTCTATCTCTCTCTCTCTTTCCCTCCTTTCTTCCCTCCCTCCCACTCAATCTGAAGATAAATGGAAAAATATTCTCGGGTAAGGATTTAAAATATATATATATATTAAGTGGCTTGCTATCACATGGTCAATTCATTTTAAAAGCAGACATATTTTATACTTTGCAAGTTGGTGTCTCCCAGTAGAAAGGGCACAAATTGTGTCTTTTTCTTTTTCACTTCCTAATTCTTAAATATTTACTAAATGGATAAAATGACTTCATAACACAGACTGAATGCTGAACGCAGGGGTTACATTTTGTCCAATTAGCTTCATTACCAAAATAAGTAAATTTAAAATACCAAAACATGCTTATACTCTAGCAATGTTCAGAGTCTTTTTTGAAAAACAGAGCAAATCAAATCAGAATCTAAGTTTGCCAGAATATCAAGTTTTTCACTGAGTCCATGGAAAATGTATCTTGTAACTCAAAAGTTATAAAATGCTATGACAGTTCCACTAATGGAGTTACCCAACACAGAGACAGCTTCTTGCTAGTAGTACTTAACAAGAGTGTGTAAGAATGTGATCCTGACAGATAAGAACATAATGGCTAAGTGCAGTTTCAGTCCTTCAGTTGGTAGGAAGCCAAAGTAGATCTGTGCTCATTCAACTCATTATCTTGGTTTTTATTTGCCCTGAGAAGGAAGGAGCAGGAAGGAACAACCCTTAAGACACCAAAAGGTACTCACTGAGAACCAAAGTACTATCCTATAACAAAATAGATAGATTCGTGAGGTAAGAAGGCTCACTAAATAATGCTGTCTTGTTCTAAGTTTAGACTTCTGAACTGGCCTCAGTAGAACTTATCTACTAGTAGAGATCATTTTTCTGCCCAGATTTAAATGGTCTGATAATCTAGTGTCACAAAAATGGCTAAGCCCTGACCAGTGTGGCTCAGTTGGTTCAGCATCGTCCCATGCACTGAGAGGTCAGTGGTTCAATTTCTGGTCAGGGCACATGTCTGGGTTGCAGGATCGTTGTTTAAGCCATCCAGTCTATGGTGTTTTATTACAGCAGTCTGAATGACTTAAGACACAGCCTATGAAAAGACAATATCAGATAAAAGTTGTACATCATTCAAGTCACTGAACATTATGACAAGATGCTACTGAAAACCCAGGCAAGATTTAAAGCCAAAATCTGAACCACTAAAATTTTTTTCCTTTTTTAAAATTTTTTATTATTTTTAAATTAATTAATTTTTTTGTTACAGATGTTTCTCCTTTTTCCCCACTGCTTCCCCCATCCCCTCCCTCCCCGCCCTGTTCCCAGCTTTGTTGTCCATGTCCATTGTTCATGTATACATGCATATAAGTTCTGTGGTTTATCTCTCCCCCATACCCCCTCTTCTGGAGATTGTCAGTCTGTATCCCACTTCCATGTCTCTGAAACTACCCTGTTCCTCAGCAAGAATATATGTACCCCCATGTTCATAGCAGCACTATTTACAATAGCTAAGATCTGGAAACAGCCCAAATGTCCATCAGTAAACAAATGGATAAAAAAGCTATGGTACATATACACAATGGAGTACTATGCAGCTGTAAGAAAGAAAGATCTCTTATCCTTTGAGATGACATGGAGGGACCTGGAAAGTATTATCCTAAGCGAAACAAGCCAAGCAGAGAAAAGACAAATATCACATGATCTCACTTATTTGTGGAATATAATGAACATAACAGTCTGAGCCACTAAAATTTATGGCTAGAACCCTAGAGTTGCAATGTGTCAATGCTAAAGTGGCAACCCTAGCCTTGGGTCAAGTCCACAAGAAGGGAACTATACACTTTGTGAGAAATTAATACTATCCTAAGACTAACTGAGAGTTTTCTGTTTTCTTTAAATTCTAATAGTTTATTTCATGCAGGAACATCAAATGACCAGCTAGCCTTACAAAATCATCCAAAGATCACCACAGTCAAATTCAGCAAACTACACTCTTTCGAATAAGCCAATTTAATTCTAAAACCCTCTGTGTACAGAAGAGAAATCAACTTTATCAGCCTTGTCTTAAGTCAGTACATTTAAATCTAGACGCAGCACAAGATGTCCTCAAATCTTTTAGCAAAGTTATCTCAATGAACTGGGAAAGTAGTTGCAAACGCCTGCTTGTAGTAATAGGACAGAAAAGTGATAGAGGGTATTAAATATGTTCAACTATATATGTAACACATAACGATAGCACTTCCAAGTAAAACATGCTGATAAAGTGTCTAAAAAATGAACAAATGGGGGAAAACAGTAAGAACTAATAGATTAGTTCATAAAAAATATGCTTCTGATATTTTTAGCATCAAGCTTTAAATGGTCAAAAATTTCCTCTTAGTGAGCTTATAGCAAATCTTCAATATATGTTTGCTGAGTTGATAAAATATGTACTACTCTAACAAATTTCTTTTCCATTTGCACATGAAATTGGAGACCATTAGTTCGCAGATCAACTAACCCTTACTTAAATGAAAACCCTAAAACACTTAGCCACCCCAAATGGTGCTTTGAAGTTTCTATGTCATTATACTGTTTAAATTGTTCAAATAGTGAGAAACATCCCGTTTCTGACCTGGAAGAGAACCACTGCAGAATAAATGATGACTTAAATTCCAAGACTTTAAATTAGGGAGGGGAAGATGATTTATATTAAGTGAAAAGCCTACCAAATCTCTAAGGAAGAACCATCCAAGGTCTTGTCATAAACTAAATACTGAGGAAGAAGGAAGAAAAAATGAGTAAAAAGATAGAACAAAAAGAGCTACCAAAGGGGGAAAAAGGGTAAGAAAGTAAAATTAATAACATTCCCAATACTTACTGTATTATCAATTATTTCCATTCACCAATTAAAGCTATCTGACATCTAAGGGTAAATTTTAAGTATCTGTTTTTACAAATACTTAAGGCCTTTATTTCAAGATTAAATGAAGTTTGTTATTATACTTTAAAAGGTTCTTCAGGCTTTCCATAACTTCTGTGTAAGAACAGTTGTATTTTTGGACATAGTAAGTATTCAAAGGCTGACAGCTCTATAGGTGTCAACAAACAGTCTGTTAATTCCAACAGTAGATGATACTGGCATGCTAATGACCTTTGAGGGCCTCTAAACTAGCTGCCTAACTCCATTTTCTATCCCTTCAATCTATTCTACAGGCTATGGCCAGATTAAGGGTAATATCTTTTGCCAGTTGCATATGATCTTTCAAAGCTAATTCCCAACCAATAAAATCTGAAGTGGAGCTTTGTATCCAAGGCCCTCCTGATTCCGCCATACATTCTCTACCCACCCTTAGCATACTCTAGCCCCATATTATACATTGGAACACATCACAGTTATCTAAATACTGTTGCTTTATTGTTTTCTCCATATCCTGTACTACCCTTAGATTATTACCGCTAAAGCCAAATTGTCCGAGGTATTCTCTATTTTTGCTCAAATCAGAAGTAACCACTCCCTTCTCTAAATCTTCATCCTGCATCCTTACTATTTCTCTTACTCAACAAGTTCTATCTTATTTTACAGCGAGTGGTTTGTGTACACAAATAGTATACTCACTGATTATAAAAAGTCTATCACACCATCATTTTGTCTCCTGCAATGCCTAACACACATTTCCAAAAAGATCTGATGATTCACTAAACACCTCAAAAGACTCTGGGAAAAACAGATATATTTTATGAGAAAATAAATATGTTTATATATGTCACTCTCTAAGAAACCCAATGTTGATCCTTAAAATTGCTAATGTCTATCCTTTAATCTACATTCAAGTATATTCACTACTCACAAACAGATTACCAAATGCTATGGTCTAAGTATTTGAGCAGCCCCCTCCCAGTCCCCAGTTCATATATTGAAATCCTAACCCCAAACATGATGGTATTAGGAAGTGAGATCTTTTATTTATTTATTTTCAAATTTTTTTTAATCGGAAGTGAGATCTTTTAAAGGTGCTTAGGTCATAAGGGTGGTTCCCTTATGAATGGGGTTAGTGTTTTTACAAAAGAGTCCCCTCCCCTCAGAGTTCCCTAGCCCTTTCCACGATGTGAGGGCACAGTAAGAAGGCATCAGCTGTGAACGAGGAAAAGGGCCCTCAACAGAATTTAATCATGCTGGCACCTTAATCTTGAACCTTCCAGCCTCTAGAATGGTGAGAAATAATTTCTATTGATTATAAGCAACACAGTCTGTGGAATTTTGGAGCAGCCCAAACAGACCAAAACACCAAACTTACCTCAAACAAGCGTAAGTCAGCAGGAACTCTGTCCCCAACAGAAAGGCAAACTGTATCACCTGGAACCAAATCTCGTGCAAGTGTATGTTCTAATTTTCCTTCACGCACACTGTAACATGAAACAGAAACAACCATGGCTGAAAAAAGAAAGCCATGCTACTATTTTAAAGATGATTTCTGGTGGGCTTGCCTGAGAAAGAATAATCATCTGGATCTGTTTGTACAACACTGTACCCACAACAGTGCTTAGAACATAGTTGTACACACACACACACACACACACACACACACAAAATCTGTTGAACAAATCTACATCTTAACAATATCAAAATCAGAACTTTAAAGTATTAATAGTACAACTTTCTGCACTGAACAGAGCATGAATTTTTCATGTCGGATTAATGGTTTCTACCTTATGTTTAAACAAGTGTGTGAGCCCTGGCCAGTTTTGCTCAGTGGTTAGAGCATCGGCCTGCAGTCCGGACAGACCCGGGTTCGGTTCCCGCTAAGGGCATGTACCTCGGTTGCAGTTTGTCCCCGGCCCTGGTTGGTCGTGCGGGTGGCAGCCACTCGATGTGTCCCTTTCACATCGATGTTTCCCTCTCTCTCTCTTCCTCTCTCTCCCTCCCACACTGTCTGTACAAAAAATGGAAAAATGTCCTCGGATGAGGATTAAAAAAATAAATAAATAAATAAAATAAAGTATTAATAGTACAACTTTCTGCACTGAACAGAGCATGAATTTTTCATGTCGGATTAATGGTTTCTACCTTATGTTTAAACAAGTGTGTGAGCCCTGGCCAGTTTTGCTCAGTGGTTAGAGCGTCGGCCTGCGGTCCGGAGAGACCAGGGTTCGGTTCCCGCTAAGGGCACGTACTTCGGTTGCAGTTTGTCCCCGGCCCTGGTTGGTCGTGCGGGTGGCAGCCACTCGATGTATCCCTTCACGTCGATGTTTCTCTCTCTCTCTCCCTTCCTCTCTCTCCCTCCCACTCTATCTGTACAAAAATGGAGGAATATCCTCAGGTGAAGATAAAAACAAAAACAAAAAAAAAACAAGTGTGTGAGCAGAAGAAAAAAGGGACAAAGGGCTAGGTGGAAGTAGGTAAAGGGGGTGGAAATGGGGACATCTATAATAGTGTCAACAACAAAAATAAAGTTAAATAAAAAGATAAAATGTTTGCAAGTCTTTAGACTGTTTCAAAAATAATAAATAAACAAGTATGAGGTCACAACATATCGTTGCACTAGTCACATTCAATATTTATTTATTTATTTATTTATTTATTTATTTATTTAATGGTACGTGCCCCTAGTGGGAACTGAACCCAGGACTCTCTGGTCCACAGGTCAACATTCCAAATGCTGAGCCAAACCGGCCAGGGCTCAATTTTTATTTTTATTTTTATTTATTTTTTAATCCTCACCCGAGGACATTTTTTTTTTTTTTTTTTTTGAGGGGGGGATCAGATAGAGTGGGAGGAAGAGAGAGGGGGAGAGAGAGAGAAACATCGACGTGAAAGGGACGCATCGAGTGGCTGCCACCTGCACAACCCAACCAGGGCTGGGGACAAACTGCAACCGAGGTACATGCCCTTAGCAGGAACCGAACCCGGGTCTCTCTGGACCGCAGGCGGGGACACTAACTGCAGAGCCAACCCGGCCAGGGCTCAATTTTTATTTTTAAGAGTAGAAATCCATATCAGAGACAAGCATCATACCAATGGCATTCTGGTGGCATAAGTTTACTCAGTTCTTCAAGAGACTTTTCTGAACGATATTCCTATTAAAAAAAAAAAAAAGAAAACATATTATAATAAATATTTATAGAAATGTAAATATGTATGTTCCTAAGTACATATTCCATATTAGACTTAATTACTGATCTCAATCATTATTTTTATAATTTCCCAATTCTTATCTTTTCCTATACTTGCAATTATATTCTACACATAAAAGTTGTCTCTTATTAAATAATGTTACAGTGACCAAACAATTTTGATTATTAAATATTCCCAATTTTATATTTTAATATTTAGTGTGCAAACCTAAGGTCAAGTTATTTATCAGAAAATGAAGAAAACTGATTAGTATGTCCAAAAAGTATATAATTGTCAGTTACTAAAAGTTAAAATCATTGAGCCTCATAATTAAGATAATTTTACTTTTAGTAAAATTAATGATGAAGATGTCAAGGACAATTAACTGCAAGCAACATCTGATTTGAGAATTTAGGTCAATTCTAACTGCAAAGTTTTATGGAATAAGTTTGCTTGGAAAGAACATACCTTAAGTACGGAGTAAAACATGGCTTGCCCTACCTTGATAGACACCTTCCACATCACCCTGAATTATGCAAAAGGGAAAATTCTCAGGAGCTCTAACTGTGTTACAGCCTTCTTCCAGCCATAATCATAGCTGAGGTTCAGAGACATCTTTCACTTCAGATACTATTTAGTGCACATTTCCATGGGCAGTCTTGCTTCATGCAACAACATTGCTATTTTTGTCTGCACTAAGCACACCAATCATTTGATCTCAGGTTAAAAAGAGAGAAGGAATAGTGGGAGTGAAAGTTGGGGAATGTTTTGAAATGACTGCAGTATTAGTACTAATCAAAATTTCACACCCATCACAAACCTTTTCAAATAGAAAATACAAAGTTGTATAAGAATAACTAGGGTCTGGCCGGTGTGGCTCTGTGGTTGAGCATTGACCCATGCACCAAGAGGTTGCCGGTTTGATTCCTGGTCAGGACACATGCCCAGGTTGTAGGTCCAATCCCCAGTGAGGACATGCAGGAGGCAGCCAATCGAAGTTCTCTTTCATCAATGTTTCTCTCTCTTTCTCCCTTTCACTTCCTATCTCTCTAAAATCAATAAAGGAAAAAAAATTTTTTTTTAAAGCAACTAGGAATTAAGTCAGTCTTCACTTAGGCAAGAGAAACAAATGTAAGAGTGAGGTAAATCTATAAATATAAAAACTACAAAACATCCCTTCCCCTAGTGATACCAAGGATATTAAGGAATTTGCAAGTATTACCTAAAAATTCCATAAAAGGCTAGAAAACACCAATCCTAGATCCTAGAAAAAATAACATGAAAGGTGCCCAATCTTTACCTCCATCTTCAGATTTCTTAGCCTTTACTCCCTACAACTACAAAGATACCTCCGTATCAAAATGACCATTTAACATAACACATGGCCAAAAACCTGATGGTCATCTCTAATGAATGCCTACAAGTTGTTATTTTAAATTTACTGTTAGGTGCCATCACTATATGGTTATATAAAACAATTACCTATTTTTATGGCTGTGAGGGTTCATAATAGGATGGGGAGATTAAAAAGAGATAGGGAGAGAAAGCCAGATAAAAATATAAAATAAATATAAAAAGCACTCTCCTCTTAAAACATAAGTAAAAACACAAATACTAAATGATAAAGCACTAAGAATTTCTGATGTATTTTTAATAGTTCTTCTGTACAAGAAACCAGATCTAACAATCTGAAACTGGGTTCTTCATGAATGTTTTGATTATTTCTTGAGGTTTCTATCATAAAGATATTCAGTAGATGGTTTCAGCCACTGCATTAAAAATGAACAACATACTATCTTTGTGTAAAATTCCACATCAACTATGTTAAAATTACAATTTTATGTCTGTTTGTTTTTTGAAGATAAGGGCTCTCTATTTATCAAAACAACAAGCTACCAAGGTGTCCCAAACACAATGATAATATTGTAGGAATCATTCTGGAGAAAGTCACTCCATATATCTATAGCATTATTAAAGATGCAAGAGGGTTCCAGTTACTGATCCAGTGGGTTGTAGTGCCCATATGGCTGAATGATAGCTGCCTCGAATGACCGTAGCCTGGAATGATCTCTGCTAGACTAACAAGATCCACCTGCCCCAGAGCAACTTTTGTCTGTTCTAAGCAAGTGGATTCTCTAGAAACAGGATACCTGACATTCTACTGATGGAACTCACAAATTTGCTGTAGATAATCTGATTCCAACTGGTTTTCTATAAAACTAATAAACTTACTAAATTAGATATTACTATAAGATGACAGTAAATACCCAAGGAATAAATCATAGATGTGAAAATAACCACAATCACTTAAAATACAGTCTTAAGACTCAAAACAATATGAACTTCAGGATCATATATTACATTTTCCCCTCAACTAGAATAATACTTGAATTCTTATTAACTATGCTTTAGAATTTTTAGCTAATAAAATGAGATCTGCCAACACCGTTCTCAGAAAGTATCAGATATTTAAATAAATATAAAACTAAGTGTTTTTATTTAGGCTTATACTTGTCAATAAAAATCCTGACATTATATCCACATTATTCACATTAATTTTTAAAAGAAGTTCCTTTTTTGCCCTGGCCAGTTTGGCTCAGCGGTTGAGCGTTGGCCTGCGGACCAGAGAGTCCCAGGTTTGGTTCCTGATAGGGGCACGTACCACAAAAAAAAAAAAAAGAAGTTCCTTTTTGCATGTTTTACTTACTTTTCAATGTCTATGTTAAGTAGGGAGTTTAATCAAGATTAGAATATCCCTTCTGTACAGAAATGAGGGATTTAAACCCTGGCCAAATTTTTTAAATGGAAAAAAATTTTAAAACCTGTTGATGGGTATATATCTATTACTATGCTTCTTGTTTCCATCTGCTCGGTTGTCTATAACAACATCAATTAAAAAACTAGATTTTCTTCATTATACTACCTAAAAAGCAGTCAATTAGTCCGATAAACTTTCCTGGAGAGTTTTTTCTGAAATTATTTCATAAATAAATAATAAATTGTTCTGAACATTACTATACCCTTAATAACTACACATTTTTCCATAAGCTACCTTAATTTTTTAATTAACTAAAATGTCATTTTTATGTTAGCAAAATAGGTTGTCTACTCACCTGAACAAAGGCAACTGTAACAACAATAAGTATTGCCTAAATAAAACAAAGAAACATCCTTTTTAATCACACATTATAACTTCAGAAATAACTACTAATTGTATTTTATTTTTCTGATTCTATCTGCAGTACCAAGATACCAGACATTAAGTACTGAGACCAACTGGGAAAGAAATCACAACTTTGTCCTGCTCTATGTGAAAAAAAAAAAAAAACTGATAATGGCTTGCCACCCCTAGGACAGTTTCTCAAACTTTTTGACCTCAGGATCCCTTCTCTAAAAAAACTGAGGACCAGTTTTTGTTTATGTAGGTTATATCTACTAATATTTGTCATATCAAATACTTTTTCAATTACTGTTTTAATTTCTATTTATTAATTCATCTAAAAATAATAAATCCATTACATGTTAATACATAACATTATTATGAAAAACATATTCCACTCCCCAAAAAAATTGTGAGAAAAGTGGCAGTTTTTGATTTTTCTATCTTTAATGCCTGCCTTAAGAGAAAGATGGATTCTCACATATGCTTCTAACATTCAGTCTATTGTACTATGTTCATTAGGACAAAGTACATAAAGAAAAATCCAACCACACACAGATATTGTTGAATAAAAGAGGAAACTTTAAAAGCTCTTTCAGATGTTTGTAGTCTTCTTTGCTACTACACCAAAATTAGACATAGACAGACAAGTGTTAGCTTAAGTAATGCGTAATGTAGAATATAAAACTATATCAATGAACTTTTTATAACCTGTTATATTAAAATCCACTGATCTATCTTGCATTTTGAATGGATCTTTTATTACTAATAATTCTGTAACATCATGCTCTGGTCATTTACAAAATATTGATTGATTTAGTTATTCAAATCTTTCAAATGCTAACACATTTCATAATAGTAAAAGAAATTATATTCATTGAACTCACTACTGATCTTACTAGAATAAAGTCTTAAATAGTGGGAAGCTATCTAGCACAGTAGTTCTCAACCTTCCAAATGCCACGACCTTTAATACAGTTCCTCATGTTGTATGTGGACGTATCTGCACGTGGGCGGACCCTCCTGGAGACAGACAGAGGAGCGCTGTCTTGCTTCCTAAGACCATCGGAAATGTGTGTTTTCCGATGGTCTTAGGCGACCCCTGTGAAAGGGTCGTTCAACCCCCAGAGGGGTCGCGACCCACAGATTGAGAACCACTGATCTAGCACATAGTAATGCACTAAATTTGGTAAAATTCTAATTGTCATCTGAAAGCTTGAATTTTATCATTGGTAGTTATCATTCAACAAACTGTCATTTTTTCTTGAAGTGAAAGGCTCATTTTACTCACTTTCAAAAAATGTTGTTAGCCTAGTCTAACTAACCAGTTTATCTCATTCTTTCAAGTAAAAGACTAGTTCAGCTCTTCACAATTACCCTTCCTCAAAACTACCACTATACTTCAATATAAAAAAGTCCTTTAAGCATACTTGCCGTTTCATTACACAGAATATTTAAAAGGTATATATGTACTCAAGTGTCAAGATTTAATAAAATTAATTTTTACTATTTTATGAAAAACATTACTAAGAGAAATAATAAAACATTGACTATTAGTACAGTTTAGTGCCATTATTTTGATTCAAGCCAAGGCTCTAACAGTTTTATCCACCAATGCTTTTGTACCACTGATTCAAATATCTACAGTGAAAAGAGAAATGATATTTTAGTATTAAGAAAATAGTTTTGACCCCACATGCTCCCTTAAACGGTCTCACAGACTCCTCAGAGTCCCCAAGCAAGAGTTCAAAATCTGCAGCTCCACAATAATTTCTACTGTATTCTTAAGTGTAACACACGTGCTTTAATCAATGGTTGTACTTGCTTTAAATTTTTATACTACAATGAAACAAGGGGCAAGGGGAAAAAAAAAGAGAGAAAACTTTCAATAAAAGGTACAATAACATAGCTGGAAAGAATAAAATCTTACATAGTAAATATAGTGTGCATTGTTAAATCATACTTTTTAACTTCACAAACACGAGGCTTTAGTTCATAATTAGTCAAATATAGTCTCAATTGGGAAATAAAATAAATTGAAAATGTAACTGGAAAATTATAATAAAATATTTCATATCTGTGAAATTACCAAATTATTAAATAATTCTCACATATGCCAATCACTAACCCTTGAACATTGTTTGAGATTACTGCAACTAAAAGCAAATTGGATATTAACCAAAACAAACCTAAAAAAACATTAAGGCATTTCTCAACTCATTTTCCAAAATAAAAGCTAATTCTAAGTTAAATGATTAATCAACAGTTTAAATATATATGTATATATGTTTTCTTACCACAGTGATACTGACAGCATCATCAAACTGATGCATTAAAACACTGATGACTGCCGAAGCCAGAAGCAGCATAATAAGGGGATTTTTAAACTGAAATTGAAAACAAACAGCAATTCAACAGTTTTGTATGAATGATAGTTGTGTTCCATTACCACAAAAGCTTGGGAAAAAAACTATTGGGGCATAATTAGTACATTACAAATCTACATTTAGTTTAGTTTATATATCTCTTCAATTAACAAAAAAGGTTATACTTAACTACATTTAAAAGTTATCACTTTACAACATCTTCCTTTCAGAAATAAAGAAAATATTAATACTTAAAACTAATTAATTACCACCCTGCCTGGTGTGGCTCAGTTGATTGGGGTGTCGGCTTGTACATGGAAAGGTGGTGAGTTCGATTCCCAGTCAGGACACATACTCAGGTTTGATCCCCAGTTGGGGAGCATACGGGAAGCAACTGATCAATGTTTCTCTCTTACACCGATGTTTCTCTTTATGTCTCTCCCTCTCCCTCTCTCCCGCCTCTTCCTCTCTCTAGAATCAATGAAAAACATGTCCTCAGGTAAGAAATAAAATTAAAAAAACTAATTAATTACCAATTTCTTAAAGTAAACATGTATTTCAGTCTATTAGTTTACCATATATATAGCTGTTTTGAATTTCTACTGAAGCTAGAATAAGTGGCAAATTACTTTTAAGCTAAAGATTTAAGTTAAACACTGGGTAGAACACCTAAATTATTAGCTTAAACTATTTCTCAACATTCCTATACTAAGTACATTAGTGAAGATTACAATATGGTGGTTGACCCACAAACCACAGGAATAACCACTTGGGGTAGCAAAGAGCAGAAAGTAAGATCTGCTCCATAGAAGCACCCTTTTCCCAAGGCTGGTTTTCCTGATACCCATTCTAGCTATGCCAATAATATATAAAGAAACAAGAAAGACCACAATAACAACCTAATCAGGCAGCATTTAAATGACCAAGCTACCCCAAATTTTTCCAGTGGGACATCTTACTCAAACATCAGAGTTCTGCTGCCAGAATCTCTTCTGATGAAGTGGTGCCAACTGCTGTCAAAGTTGCAAAGTACTAGGCTACAAAGAATCCATCACAGCAGAGCCCCTGCCCCTGGATACAGCTCTGATGTGAGATGCCACCACCTCCCACTCACTTTAGGTCTCTATTCCCTAGCACAGTGGTTCCAACTCTGCTTTACATCAGACTCATGTAAAGAACTTTTAACAAATACCCAGGTTCACATCACACAAATTAGATCAGAATCTTTGGGCATAGGGCCCAGGCTTTGGCATTTTTAGAGCACTCCCCAAGTGACTTTACTGCATAGAAGACTAAAAATCAGTGCTCAAGCAAAATAAAACTACAAATGCAGTGTGGTTCAGGGCTGACAAATCACACACTTGACTAAGAGTCCCAGTTTGAATCCAGTTCTTGCCACTTGTGCGTGATTTTTAATCTCATTAAGCCCCAAGGGTTCTTTATCTAGTAAAATCGTACCTTATACCAAACATTGTGGTAAGAATTAACTAGGAATGTCTATTAAAGCTCTGTGTAAACCATAAAACCCTCTTCAAATGTTAAATGTTATCACACTTTGAAGACAAAGCCCATGGTCCTTTTTTATTTTCCCCTAAAAAAGCTGTGCCATAGTACTAAGGACACCACTTGCAGACTCGAAAACTGTTTGCAAAACAACATGTGTTATCTGTAGAGGAGTAGAGTCACCTAATTCTTTATGATTGACAACTGATATCTATTATTAATGGTTGCTTGCGCTTAACTATAGTGTAGGCACTATTTCATTTCATTCTCACAGCAATACCATGATGCAGGTACTCTAGCTTTGAAACAGGATCAAGAAAGGAAAACATTAGCCTGGCCGGTGTGGCTCAGTGGATTGAGCTTCGTTCCATGGACTGAGAGGACCTGGTTCAATTCCTGGTCAAGGCACATGCCCGGATTGTACGGTTGATCCCCAGCAGGGGGCATACAGAAGGCATCTGATCAATGATATCAATGTTTCTCTCACATCAATGTTTCTGTCTCTCTCTCTCCCTCTCTCCCTTCCTCTTTCTCTAAAAAACAAACAAACAAACAAAAAAACAATAAAAACATATTTAAAAAGTAAACGAAAATAAAACATTAAATCATACTCCCTAGGAATAAGTCTAATCATTGTAGTTTAGCCTCGCCGGTGTGGCTCAGTGGTTGAGCATAGACCCATGCACCAAGAGGTCACCAGTTCAATTCCCAGTCAGGGCACCTGCCCAGGTTGTGGGCCCAATCCTCAGTGTGGGGCGTGCAGGAGGTGGCCAGTTAATGTTCTCTCTATCATCAATGTTTCTCTCTCTCTCCCTCTCCCTTACTCTCTCTCTAAAAATCAATGAAAGAACATTTTTTTAAAAAATCATTGTAGTTTACAAATCCAGAGTAAACTTCCTGAAGGTCTAGGTAATGTGAAAATATCAAAATAAAAATATGCATATAAAATATTCCATAAAAACAAGACAAATACACACAAGGTTCTTTTAACCTCTCAAAATTCAGTTTTTCTACTTTAGACAAATCCATTTGCAAAGACAATACTGATAATCTGGGGCTCATTAACAGACAAAGCCCTTTAAAAAGTTAAACACAGATCTTAAAAAAAAAAAGAACCTGAAGGTTAAAAAATATTAAAAATTTTCTTTGCTAAAAAGGAATTTATTTATTTGTTTGACAAACTAACCCTACTACTTGAGAACTGGCCACAGGATTCTTGTAGCTTTTCACACTAACAAAACTTGGTAAGAAAAAATCCTGTTAAGTTTTTCTGAAAAGATTAGGCTATTAATAAAATGTAATTTAAAATAGCTAAAATATATTGATAGCTTCCTATCTCCTAAGATTATTATCCCCATAGATAAGGCTCAGAAGATAATAAAGATCACACAGACAGTATAAATAAAGGTGAAATATGTACTCAGGTGGTCTAGATTCAAACTGTCAAACTTATTTTTACTAATTTTATAAACTGGTCATATTACTTTAAAAAATAGTAGGCCCTGGCTGGTTGGCTCAGCAGTTAGAGCGTCAGCCTGTGGATCGAAGGGTCTCAGGTTCGATTCCCAAACAAGGGCATGTACCTGAGTTGCAGTCTATCCCTGGCCCCAGTCAGGGTCATGCAGGAGGCAACTAGTCGATGTGGCTCTCTCACATTGATGTCTCTCTCTCTCTCTCTCCCTCCCTTCCTCCCTTCCATTCTATCTAAAAAAAAAAAAACAATGGAAAAATATCCTCAGCTGAGGACTAACAAATATATATAAAAGAAATGTTCTGTGTTTTGTTGTTGTGTGTATATATATATATTTATATAAATATAAAAAAATATATATTAGCATTCCTATAATAAAAATGTTAGATACTTGCAAAGGAAACTACTATTAACAGTATCACTTCCATGCAATATGTCTATAAACCCTTAAAGACCTGCATACTAAGAATTACAAATGGAAAAATTTAGGTAAAAAACACTTTTTTTTTATCCTCACCTGAGGACATTTTTCCATTTTTTGTTCAGATAGAGTGGGAGGGAGAGAGAGAGAGAGAAACATCGATGTGAAAAGGACACATCAAGTGGCTGCCACCTGCATGACCCAACCAGGGCCGGGGACAAACTGCAACCAAGGTACACACCCTTAGCGGGAACTGAACCCAGGTCTCTCTAGACCGCAGGCCGACACTCCAACTGCTGAGCCAAACCAGCCAGGGCTAGGTAAAAAAATATTTTAAAAATTATTCCTTCCATAAATAACTGCACAAAAGCAAACAACTAAACTAACAAAAATACAAGTAAATTACACAACAGAGGAGGAAATAAAAGTATCTCACCTGAGAAATATACTTCTTCCATAGTGGCTCATCTTCACTGATATCAAATTCATTCCAGCCATGGAAGGCTCGCCTATGACTTACTTCACATTTGTTTAGACCATTCTGAAGATCAGCCTATTAAATTTTACATATAGATGTTATTCAAAATATTGGCAGAGAACAAAATCAGAAAAACACAAAAGTGTACCTACTGTATGATCACATTTATAGAAACTTCTACAATAGTCAGAACTAATCTGTGGTGACAAACAGTGTATCAGTGGTTGCCTGGGGCCAGAGGCATACACGGGGAGAGATTAACAGCAAAGGAACATAGGGAAGCTTTGGGGAGTGATGAAATGTTCTGTCTTTTTGTTGTTGTTGTTGTTAACCCTCACCTGAGGATATTTTTTCCACTGACTTTTAGAGAGAGAAGGAGGGAGGCGGGGAGAGGGGAAGAGAAGGAAGGGGGAAGGATACCAATGTGAGAGAGACACATCGATTGGTTGCCTCCACATTCATCCCAGACAGGGACCGGGGATCGAACTTGCAACCTAGGTATGTGCCCTTGACCAGGAATCAAACCTGCAACCCTTCAGTGCAGAGGCCAACGCTCTAACCATTGAGGCATATTGGCCAGGGCTATGTTCTATATCTTAATTGTGGTGGTGGTTTAATTTGTCAAAATGCAAATTGCACATTAAATATGAGTATGTTGTATCTTATGTAAATTATACCTTAATAATTTTTTTTTAATGTAAGCAACAAGTTAGGGTTTAACAAACAAGAAATAGTTTTCTATGGGGGAAAAGGAAGCATACAAACCAGCCACTCATACAGAAAGCAAAATATCAGTATATTCGCATTGGTTTTCTTTGTTTTCTAAAATTAGTTTCTCCAAAAGAGCAATCAATGGGCCATAATGACCTTCCTTGTTCTTTAAGCCTATTTCAAAACTCTGAGGTTGGTAGTATTACCTTTGCTCTTGGACTATATAATTATTTCAGGCAGAAAATTTGTGGTTCCTAAATTATTCAAAATAATGAAGTTAAGTAAACTAGTTCTTGGGATATTTTATGTTCTATGAATACCACCTACATTCTTCAGTCACTGTCTCTCAGGATTCATTATTATAACTATCATTAAAGAATGAAATTACTGCCCTGGCAGGTTTTGCTCAGTGGTTAGAGCGTTGGCCTGCAGACCAGAGAGTCCCAGGTTTGGTTCCTGCTAAGGGCACATAACTTGGTTGCAGTTTGTCCCCAGCTCCGTTTGGGGTCATGTGGGTGGCAACCAGTCAATGTGTCTCTCTCACATCGATGTTTCTCTCTCCCTCCTGCTCTATCTAAAGATAAATGCAAAACTGTCCTCAGGTGAGGACAAAAAAATTTAAAAATTAAAAAGAAGAATGAAATATGCTGTACCCCTAAACATCTTTCTCTGGCCAAAGTTTCATAATACACACCAATAACAAAGTCTTGCAAAACTTAAATGTACTTAAAATAAGTGGTTTTACAACAGTGTATAAATACAACAACCATAAAAGAAAATCCTCAAATAAAGGATAGCCAATATTTTTAAAGCCATCATTAAAATATGTGAATTCTTAAGATAAAAAACATTCTTTTCTTCATGATTCATTAAATTGTACTTTTCAAAACTAGAAAGAGATTAAAGCTTATTTGCAATTCTGAACTTGTACTTAGCTTTTACTTTACTTTAGAAAACACATTTAAAAAAGATTAATTCCTAATTCTACTTATGCTAATAATTAGATCATTATCCTAATCCAATAAACTTGTCCTTACATAGCACTGCAGTCCTGGTAATGCTGATGATCTACAGTGGTACTGTCCAATCAGATAACCACCAGCCACATGCTGTTATTTAAATTTCAATAAATAAAAATGAAATAGAATGAAATTCAGTTCTTCCCCTAAACTAGCCACATTTCAAGTATTCAATAGTCATGTTTAACTAGTTACTACTATATTGTATAGCGCAGAAGAGAATACTTCTATCATCACAGAAATTCTATTGGACAGCACTTATCTATAGAGTCTAAGTGACTGATTTTACTATCTACTCCTTTCCTCACCACCAAGCACTTACTTGGAGAATGCTTGCAACTTCGCTGACTGGTAACTCACTTGCTTTTTTTGATGTCAATACAGGAATCATTGTCTCATTTTCACCATTAGGAATTTTTTGAAAACGTGCAACCTAGAAAATTAAATCAAAGGAAAAATATTTGAATATACCAAACATTTCTAATGTGGTCTATAATAAACAAAAATTCAAATGTTCACAGAAAAATTATTTCCTAATTTGAAAACACATTATTTTCAAACTAATTTTGAGCATCTAGTACTAAGATAATTTTATAGTAACCATATGCTGATCTTCCCAGAAAGCACATTTCAAAAATTAGGCCACCCTGGCTGGTTTGGCTCAGTGGTTAGAGTGTCAGCCTGCAGATCAATGAGTCACAGGTTCAGTTCTGGTCAAGGGCATGTACCTTGGTTGCGGTTTATCCCCACCCCTGGTCAGGGTTGTGCAGGAGGCAACCAGTCAATATGTCTCTCTCACATGGATGTTCCTCTCTCTCTCCCTCACTTTTTCTCTCCCTCCCTCCCACTCTATCTGATGATAAATATAAAAATACCCTCAGGTGAGGATTAAAAAAATAATAATAAGGCCACCAGTGCCAGTTAGAACACAAAATAATTTTCACATTAAATTAAAAAGATGCTATTTCTACACCAATGCAATGAGTAAAAACTAAAACAGATGTCCTGTCTATCTGATCCTAATGATTTCATGTAGTCATAATCCTCTAAACTCATTATATTTAACACAAGGGACAAGCAACGGCTAAGCTTTCTACATTTAATTACTCCTGTTGGTCAGCTCATTTCTTAACTATCCAGAAAGTAAACCTAACTACTCTACTGAAGCACCATGACAGCAAGTTAGACTTAAAGTTCCAAACAAGGGAAAACAAAAAGCAGAAGAGATCACAGAAGCAGAGGATGCACAGGTTAGTGAAGGGACTATAACAAACAGAGTAAGGCAGAGAGATGATGGTAACCATGGTACCTACTTACGCAGCTTTGTAAGTATATACTCACCAAAACTGTTTAACATACTTCTAGAAATAAATCCCTAACCCAGACTTGTTTGGAGTCCTAAGCTGAGATTCTTTATAGACAAAAAGAGCTTTGAATAAGTAAGAGAAAGAGAGACAAAAAGTTACCCACTGAAACTTTTAAAGAAGAAAACCTTAAGTTGTCACACATCTACTGATTAAAATAATACTGAAACTGAAGTGACTATCTTACTGTCAAGATATAAGTCTTTAAGCTTTCAGGTGAAATATTTTCAACCTTGGATAATGAACATTTTTAGAATAAAATATGTCCCTAAAATTTTTTTGAGGCAAGACTTCTTTAAGAGAACAAATGAGATCAAAGAAGAATAATTTTTAAAATTTCTATTATTATAAAAATGTCATTATAGAGGCTTGTATGCATAAACAAAATTTTGCACTTACTCTATAAATGGTAAAGAGCTGTGGGAAAAAAGGATTTCCTCCGTGTGACCAAGTTCAGAAACAATCAAACACTACATGTTTTTATCCCATTTATTTAAAAGGCATTATTAGATGGTTAAGTACCTTAAAGAAAAAAGAAGTATTTTTCCACTTTTAATGAGAACATATCAGTGACTACAAATTCCGAGGTAACTAGAAACTGATTACCTTTCTTTCATGCAAATTAAGTTCTGAAATTATTTTATAGCACAATAGTTTTTTTTTATCCTCAACGAAGGATATGTTTTTTAATTGATTTTAGAGACTGGGGGGAGGAGGGAGGGAAGGAGAGGGAGAGAGAGGATGAGAGACAGAGAGAGAGAGAGAGAGAGAGAGAGAGAGAAAGAGAAAGAGAAAGAGAAAGATCAATCAGTTGCCCCCTGTTGCACCCTGACAAAGGATCAAACTGGCAACCAAGGTATGTGCCCTGACTGGGAATCAAACCAGAAACCTTTTAGTGTACAGGACGATTCTCCAACCGAGTCACCCAGCCAGGGCTTATAGCATAATATTTTTTTGCATAATTAAGAAATTTAAAACCTTAGAAATACTAGAAACTTTATAAAAAGTTTGTACAGCCCGGCCGTTTTGGCTCAGTGGTTGGAGCATCAGCCTGCGGACCAGAGAATCCCAGGTTCGGTGCCAGCTAGGGGCACATACCAAATCTTCAAACAACCAGTGCTGGTGAGGATGTGGAGAAAAGGGTACTCTAGTACACTGCTAGTGAGAATGCAGACTGGTGCAGCCACTATGGAAAACAATATGGTGATTACGCAAAAAATTAAAAATGGAACTGTCATTTGACCCAATGATCCCACTTCTAGAAATATATCCTAAGAAGCCTGAAACACCAATCAGAAAGAATTTATGCACTCCTGTGTTTAAAGCAGCTCTATTTACAATAGCTAAGATCTGGGAACAGCCCAAGTGTTCATCAGTAGATGAGTAGATTAAAAAGCTGTGGTACATATATACAATGGAATACTATACAGCTGTAAGAAAAAAAGATCTCTTATCCTTTGAGATGGCATGGAAGGACCCGGAGAGTATTATGCTAGGTGAAACAAACCAAGCAGAGAAAAACAAGTATCACAATGATCTCACTTATTTGTGGAATATAATGAACTAAACAAACTGCTGAACAAAATTAACCCAGAGACATAGAGGTGGGGTACAGACTGTCAAGCCTCAGAAGGGGGGGGTTGGGGGGGAAGATAAACCACAGAACTTACATGCATGTATGCATTACCAATGAATATAGACAACAAAGCTGGGGATGGGGGGAGGAGGGGAGGAGGGTGTCAATGGGGGGAAAATGAGAAACATCTGTAACAAAAACAAATTAATAAATAAAAAAATTAAAAGTTTGTATAGATGTTTTAGAGTCACTGAAAGCCCTTATTTCAAGTCTAAAAATAAATTTAAAACCTTAGACAAATGCTAGAAACTTTATAAAAGTTGTACAGACATTTTAGAGTCACTGAGTGCCCTTATTTCAATCCTATAAAATGAAGCAAGAGCCCTGGCTGGTTCACCTCAGCAGTTAGAGCGCCGGCCTGCGGACCAAAGAGTCCTGGGTTCGATTCCAGCCAAAGGCACATACCTCAGTTGCGGTTCTTCCCCAGCTCCAGTTGGGGTTGTGCGGGTGGCAACTAATCGATGTGTCTCTCTCACATCCATGTTTTTCTCTCTCTCTCTCTCCCTCTCACTCTGTATGAAGATAAATGTAAAAATGTCCTTGGGTGAGGATTAAAAAAAAAAGCAAGACAGTGGAAGGGCTTAACTGAACCATCCCTAAATTAAATACTGGAGAAAATTTCCCCCAAAACAACTTGATTCTTAAAGCAATGAGACCTAACAAGTTTGACATGGTTATTTTATTTTGTGAGATCATAAAACAAAATTAAGAAGGATCAATATGTTGACATTGCCTGCAGTGACAGTGACAATGAGATTTTTTAAAATCTTTTTTTGTAATTGATATTTTTAAAAAGAGGAAGTGAGTGAGGAGTAGTAATATCAATGTGAGAGAGAACCACTGATCAGTTGCCTCCTACACACCCCCTACTGGGGACAGAGACTGCAACCCAGGCATGTGCTCCAACCAGGACTCAAACCAGGACCTCTCAGTCCATGGGATGATGCTCAATCCACTGAGCCACACCTGGCAGGCGATTATTTTTTTTTTTAAATCTTTATTGTTGAATGTAAATTGTATTACAGATGTTCAACATTTTCCCCCCATTGACCCCCTCCTCCCCACTCCCGCCCCCCTCCCGCCTTTTCCCACATTATTGTCTGTGTCAAATGGTTATGCATATAAGTTCTTTGGTTTATTTCTTCCCACCTACCCCCAACCCCTTTCCCTTTGAGGTTTGTCAGTCTAGCAATGAATTTGTACTTTTTAATCTCTTCACCTTTTTCACCCATTCCTCCAACCCCCCTCCCAACTGGCAACCAACAAAATGTTCTCTGTATCTATGAGAATGTTTCTGTTCTACCTGTTCATTTTGTTTGTAGATTCCATTGTTGATAGATATGTATTCAGTGCCATTTTGTTTGTTCATATATTTTATCTTTTTCTTCAAAAAGACCCTTCATCATTTCATATAATAATGGTTTGGTGGTGATGAACTCCTTTAGCTTTTTCTTGTCTGGCCATCGATTCTAAATGACAGCTTTGCAGGATAGAGTAATCTTGGTTGTACGTTCTTGCTTTTCATCATTCTGAATATTTCTTGCCACTCCCTTCTGGCCTGCAAAGTTTCTTTTGAGAAATCAGCTGACTGCCTTATGGGAACTCCCTTGTAGGTAACTAGCTGCCTTTTTCTTGCTGCTTTTCAGATTCTCTCTTTGTCTTGAACCTTTTGCATTTTGATGATGATGTGTCTTGGTGTGGGCCTCTTGGGGTTCATCTTGTTTGGGACTCTCTGTGCTTCCTGGACTTGTATGTCTGTTTCCTTCACCAAGTTAGGAAAGTTTCCTGCCATTATTGTTTCAAACAAGTTTTCGATTTCTTGTTCTCGCTCTTCTCCTTCTGGCACCCCCAAGATGCGAATGTTGGCACGCTTGAAGTTGTCCCAGAGGCTCCTTACACTATCCTCATTTCTTTGGATTCTTTTTTCTTTTTGCTGTTCTGATTGGGCATTTTTTGCTTCCTTATATTCCAAATCGATGGTTTGCTCCTTGCATTTATGTACTCTATTATTGAAGCTGTGTAAATTATTCTTTATTTCAGTTAATGCCTCCTTCAATTCTAACTGTGCATCCATGATTTCTGACTGGTCCTTTTTTATGCTCTTGAGGCCCTCACTAAGTTCACTGAGGTTCTCACTAAGTTCATTGAGCATTCTTATAAGCAGTATTTTGAACTCAGCATCTGTTAGGTTGCTTATCTCCATTTCGCTTAGTTCTTTTCTTGGGGTTTTGTTCTGTTCTTTCATTTGGGACCTGTTTCTTTGTCTCCTCATTTTGGCTGCCTCCCTGTGTTTGTTTCAGTGTATTACTTAACAAGAGGTATGGAGCTCGCTGAGACCAGATGCTGCTTGTTTGAAAGAATTTAGGAAAAACCTGAAGCCGGATCCAAGACAGGCCAATCCTATGGTTAAGCAAGTGGCAACAGCTTGGGTGG